AGAACGAGATAAAACACAGCAGAGTCCGGTTATCTTTGTGTGTCTTAGGAAAAGTTTCACGAAGTGGAGATTCGGCACGATCTACATTCCGAAAGGAAGAAGATCGGCATGCCGTTATTATTAATCCCGACTCTTCCAAGGTGGATACTTTCTTACTTTCTTCCTGACTAAAGATGAGTAAGATCCACTGCGGCCATCTTCCGCTGATTGAAGTGGATCGATGGAAGAGAGATTATAGCATCAACTAGGGACTTATGTATTGAGAGGCACTACAGGAACTTTAAAACTTGCTTACCGGCGCCATAACGGGAAAACAACGGAGATTTGAGGTGTCAGGATTCTTCTTATATCCACAATTGTAACCTCAGAAGGATTTACTTCTAATTTCGGTCGCCACTTGCTGGGCTTACGCCTTGGCTATGTATCCGATTCGGGAATAGAATGCCTACAGAGTAGTGGTAGATAGTGGTAAATAGTGGATTCTTCTGTTCTTCCCTTGGCTACGGAGTACGGAGCAACAGGCACGTAAATCGCGTGTTGAGGAATTAGTCTGATCTGACAAAGTGTTCTGTCATGTTCCTGAATCAAAGGTGGATCGCCATGCTTGCAAATCATAGTGGAACCCAGAGGTATAAATCGTTCATGTAGCCACGAGGAAATCACTAGGAAATAAGCTCTGTTATATTCCTTGTTGAACACTCTCCCCTAGAACCGGGATTATAGCAATCATGCGCAGCCTCTTCGGACTTGCCCTGCTTCCACTAGCAGTTGCAGTTCCCCATGCCTCCCACAAGTCGGACTCGACTTACGATTACATCGTTGTCGGAGGTGGCACCAGTGGCCTCGTTGTTGCAAACCGACTGTCCGAGCAAAAGAACACCACGGTCCTCGTGATCGAAGCTGGCGGCTCCGTATACAACAACCCAAACGTGACCAACACTCTCGGATACGGCAAAGCGTTCGGTACAGACATTGACTGGGCCTACGAAACGACAGCCCAAGAATATGCCGGTGGATACTCACAAGTCGTGCGTGCCGGAAAGGCACTCGGAGGAACATCCACCATCAACGGCATGGCCTACCTCCGTGCCCAGGCAGCCCAGATCGACGCGTGGGAGGCCATCGGAAACAAGGGCTGGAACTGGAAGAATCTTCTCCCCTACTTCAAGAAGAGCGAGAAATTGCAAGATCCGGCCAATTACCCATTCTTGGAGGGATCGGGTGTTGCCTTTGACCCGGCCTACCACGGCTTTACTGGGCCCGTGAAGGTTGGCTGGTCTTCAACACAGTTGAACGACGGTCTGGCTCAGAAGTTGAACGCTACCTACCAGAACCTCGATGTTCCTGTTCCCTACAACCGGGATGCCAACAGCGGAGACATGGTCGGATACAGTCTGTATCCCAAGACGGTTGATGCCGACCTCAACATCCGTGAGGATGCTGCTCGTGCCTACTATTACCCTTACCAGAACAGAACCAACCTCCATGTCTGGCTCAACACACACGCCAACAAGATTACCTGGAAGCATGGACACGAGGCCACCGCAAGCGGTGTCGAAGTCACTCTTTCCAACGGCAAGAAGACCGTGGTGAAGGCTACCCGTGAAGTAATTCTCGCTGCTGGCGCATTGAAATCTCCCGTTCTGCTCGAGCTTTCCGGAGTCGGAAACCCACAGTAAGCATAGCACTGCCTCCGTTCAACATTTGACGAAAGCTAACCCAAACTCCCCAACTAGCATTCTTTCCAAGCATGGAATCGCCACCAAGGTTAACCTGCCAACTGTCGGCGAAAACCTGCAGGATCAAATGAACAACGGCCTCCAGTTCGAGTCAAAGAAGAACTACGGCAGCGACAAGAGCGCCGACTACGTCGCCTATCCCTCTGCTGACCAGCTCTTCCCCAACTCCACCGCACTGGGAGCTGAACTCCTTCGCAAGCTTCCCGCTTATGCAGCTCAGGTTGCCTCCGCCAACGGCAACATCACCAAAGCCCGCGACATCTACCGTTTCTTCAAGATCCAGTGGGATCTGATCTTCAAGGATGAAATTCCTGTTGCAGAGATCCTCCTATCGGCATCTGGATCCGCATACAGCAGCGAATACTGGGGCTCTGTTCCCTTCTCTCGCGGCAGCGTTCACCTTTCTTCCGCAGACCCCACCGCGCCCGCTATCATTGACCCCAAGTACTTCATGCTGGACTTTGATCTCCACGCTCAGGCACAGGCGGCACGGTTTATTCGTGATATCTTCAAGACTGAGCCATTTGCTGATATGGCTGGTGCCGAGATCACTCCCGGCCTTTCTACTGTTGCTGCGGGTGCGGATGACAAGGCCTGGTCCACTTTTATTTACAGCAAGTGTACGTGCATCGTTCGACTTGCCGAGAGAAATTTGGTGGGAATGCCATTGCTAACATTTCGTTTCACTAGACCGATCAAACTTCCACCCGATTACCACAGCCGGCATGCTGCCCAAGGAGCTTGGTGGTGTTGTCGATACGTCGCTGAAGGTTTACGGAACCTCGAACGTTCGTGTCGTGGATGCTTCCGTCATGCCTTTCCAGGTCTGCGGTCACCTCCAGAGCACCGTGTATGCGGTTGCTGAGCGTGCCGCCGATATCATCAAGGAGCAGTCGTAATTTCACATCGTGCTCCTATATTAACATAGTGTACGAATATTGAACAACTAGTATTTATTCTGAACAACAATAATCGGCCGTTCTGTAGCTTCTGTACTTGAGGACGTAGATCTTCAACAATCGGGTATATTTGGCTTATGGTCATGCTATCGAGGCTATATTTAATTCAACCTTGTTATTTTTTAGGATATCTGTTGAGATGTCTCTTTTTTTAGATACTCTTGCGTTATGAATCACGTTTCTGGTGCTATCTATACATTACAACAAAGTAGTACAAGTCATATTAGCTAATCTCCAAGAAATACTATAAATGCCTTCCAAGACGAATATAAACAATCAGCAACCCGTTACCACACATATCGGAATTGTCGGTCTTGTTTATCCGTGAGGTCTGTCTGTGGCAACCCATTCTCGTCCAGTTTGACCTCTTGATCCACACTAACAACACCAGAACTGGCAGCTTGTTCATCACGTTGCTTATTATCCCATACACACAAGAAGCGGAATAAAACCACCACGACGAAAAGCAGACACCATGTCACGATGGATGTTATCACACCCTCCGTATAACGAGGGCTGTGAGTCCATAGTTGAGGCGAGGCAATGCAGGCAGCACAGTAACCGATGAAAAACATGCCGTTCACAACAGCGCGTTTTGTATTTCCCTTGAAATTAGATGCCGCAAGTGAAAGAAGTATTGTCATAGAAGCAGTAATGCATGAAGACTGAAATAGAATGGGTTAGCAACAAAAACCTGGCCCAGTCAATAGAAATACATACCAGCCACGATGCAACTATTAAACCCCATCGCGCACTCACGTCCAACTTCATCAAGAACACAGTCCCAATCAGAGGTGGGATAATAAGAATAAGAATGACCAGCGTTCGCTGATTAGGGAGGATAAACACTAGACCGACACCGATCCACAACAAAGCAATTTGCACAGCCCCCGAAGGAGCCGTGTATAGCATAGTCTCGAGATTAGTATATCCAATCGACTTGATTACAAGAGATGCAAAAGTCAATACCGGCGACTGCATGCATACCAAAACACCAAACCAAAAGACAACCCACGCCTTGGGATCCATTATTGCCTCTTTGAGCTGGGCAACAGAAAAAGAGGACTTGTCACCGCCATCCCGGTCCTGTGCCATGCGTAAAGACAGGACTTCCCTCTCGCGAGCACTCAAGAACCATGCATCTTTGGGGCCATTCGGCATAAGGAAAAAGAACGCCACGCCGGCAGCAGAAGTTATCGCGCCACAGATGATAAACAGCACGCGCCAGGGAGCGATTGGAAGTGAGGAGTTTTTGCCAATGCCATACATCAGGAAGCAGCCTAGAACCTGTGCGAGACCATTCATGGAAATCCATAATGCCGTGCGGACATTGTGTTCTTTCTTTCGATACCAGATACTGGTGATTGTTACGAAGGCAGGCGAGACGGCGCCTTCGCTGAAGCCAAGAAGGAAGCGTACGGTGGCAAATCCGGCGAAATTCTTCGGTGCTGCAAGGCACATGCATACAATGCCCCAGATAATTCTGAATTGGCGGTTAGCACATGATGGGAATAGACATAGTACATAATACCGCGAAAGCAAACTTACACAGTCACACCGACAAATTTGGTCAAGGGGAGTCGGCTCATGAGATAAATAAATGGATACTCGGCGACCAGTTGGCCAACATAGAAGATTGAGCTCGACCATGAGTATTGCGAGCTGGTCATGTTGAGGTCTTCAATCAGACCGAAGACACCAGCATAGCTGAGACTCTGCTTGTCAAGATATTGTAGAAAAAACACGAAGCACATCTGGAAGTATGCATCATTAGCCTGAAAAAACAACCGAGGTAGCTTGAACCCCTTACCAGAGGCAAAACGACCAAGTCAATTTTGCGCAGGACAGCTTTCTCTTCCTCCTTGGTGTAACTTCCATGAAGATCAAGTACTTCACCACTTGCTTGGTCGGCATTGTCGCTGCTCGTAGCATGCTTCTTCAAGTTGTCCATGGGTGGAATTGGTGCCCCTTGATATATCAATGTTTTGGATTTGGACAAGCTTAGACTTGACTCAACAAAATAGTTAAAGATGAGATTTAAATTTCCAAAATAAAATGAGTATGCCCCGGATTTCCCCCTGCTATAAACGAAGGCTTATCATTCAATTGACGAAAGATGCGGAGAAGGTACATCGGATCGATGGCGTCGGGAATCTGTCGATCAATTTGCCGAATCTGACATCTCTGTTTTCTCTCTTGCTCGTTGGGTATTTAAATTCTATGAAATTCCATTAAACTCCATATCTTTAACTTATCCAACATTCTTTCATACTACATATCCCACATATCCCACAATCCCATCATGTCACAAACCATTCTACCTGGCTCGGACATCAAGCCATGGACCCGCCCCGCACCGCAGGGATATAAATTCATCAACGCCAACGTCGTCGATGTTGAATCAGGCAAAATCAAAGAAAACACAACCCTCATAGCCACCGAAGGCAGAATAACATATGTCGGCCCAGAATCATCCATCCCAGCCTTACAAACCAAACTCCAAACAGTAGACTGCCAAGGCAAATACCTCTGCCCCGGTTTATTTGATGCCCATGTGCATCTATGCGCAGTCCCAGGCTTCAGCGACTTATCCAAAGCCTTTGGAAACCCAAATGACGTCCAACTCTTACGCCAGCCTTACACAGCCTCGCAGATGCTGCACCGCGGCTTCACCAGCATCCGCGATTGTGGCGGTGCCCAGCTTGCTTTGAAAGAAGCTATCGAAGACGGCGTCTTCCCCGGCCCACGCATATTCATTGCAGGACATGCCCTCTCGCAATTTGGTGGCCATGGTGATCTGCGCGGCCCGCACGAGGCTACGGCATGCTGTGGCGGTACCCATAGCAATAATCACTTGGGCCGTATGTGCAACGGTGTGCCGGAGTGCATGGCTGCGGTCCGTGAGGAGATTCGCTGCGGTGCGGACTTTATCAAGATTATGGGCTCTGGTGGTGTGGCTTCGCCAACGGATAAGCTGGAGCATCTGCAGTTTACAGCCGCAGAGATTCAGGCCATGGTGGAATGTGCCGATAATGCTGGCACTTTTGTCACCGCTCATGCATACACCGTCAAGGCTATCCGGCATTGTATCGATAATGGTGTCCGTGGTATTGAACATGGGAACTTCGTCGATCCATCCACTGCAAAGTTGATGGCGGAGAAGGGAGTCTACTTGACCCCTACACTTATCACGTATGCTCAGATGGCTTCCGAGCGGTGGAAGAACTATCTGCCCATTGAGTCTCAGACAAAGAACTCGATCGTGTTGAAGTCCGGTCTTGAGGCTTTGAGGGTTGCCTCGGAGGCTGGTGTGATTATGTGTTATGGCTCTGATTTGCTGGGCTCGATGGGCTCTGCGCAGACCCATGAATTTGCACTGCGATCGCAGGTTTTGTCGTCACTGGAGATCCTGCGTAGTGCTACTGTGAATCCAGCGACGATGATGGGATACGCGGATGAGCTAGGTCAAATCAAGGAGGGATTCTATGCTGACCTCGTGATTCTAAATAAGAATCCGCTTGAAGATGTGACCGTCTTTGATAAGCCTGATGAACATGTGCTGGGCGTGATGAAGGATGGTCGTGTCTATAAAAGTAGGTGGGATGCGTTGCTAGAGGATGGTCATATTCCCGTGAGAGTACAATGATTATGTTGTTGCGCACTGCACTGCATTGAATGGCGGTTGGTGTTGTGAGTGTGAAGACAGAAATAAACACGTACGAATCAAATATGGTTTCACTTCCTTCCTCATTATTGTCCTTGATATTTATGTAAACCCAGAGAAGTCGAGGACGTCGATCCCAGTCAAGCCCATGAGAAAAGTTGGATCATCACTCTGGAGTCCCGACAGAAGGTCATACTCGATAGGCTGGAACTCACGCAGCATAGTTGAGCCATGTGCTAGGGTTTGAGGGATTGAGCTTTCCGAGATGTACGGTTCACCAGCAGTTCTCCAATCGGACATATTCTCGTTTGACTGTGGGTGTAGTACAGTATGTGAAAGCGGAACAGCGGACTCTACCTCATAGATTGCTCTTTGATCTAATGCCCGAGGATGTTCCAATCTAGCAAGCCATTCAGCCCATTGATTGTAATCAGATGCGGAGGCCGAAGCTTGTACATCTTGCGTTTCGTTGGCCGTAGAGGACGCCCGATGGAGCTTCTCCGCGGCCTCGTTTGTTATCAACTGTACAGCCTCCACAAATTTCACGCCCAATTTGGCTGTCATGTTCCCAGTTGCCATTCTCCGAAGGCAATCTAAACCAAACTTCACTCGAGCATTGTATCCTGAATCGCGTTCCGTAACCCCAGCCACTAGTGTCACGATCGTTGCAATACTGCATCCCTGGAAGTCGGTGAAGGAGAAACGAGTGATGTTGCGGGTTTTTGTCAGATCTTCGAATAGTAGGAGAAGTTTTCTGCCGGCCTTGGCACAATATCGAGATTGCCTCAAAGCAGCGTCGCTTGGATCAGGAGGGCGCGACGCAGGAAACATATGGCAGCGAAGCCTCGTTCGGGCGACAGTTACGAGGGCGACTTTGCCCATTGTTATCCACGCATAGTAGTAATTCAAATAGAGATGAAAGATCGTACGGTATCTTGAGTCTTTTGGGTCCGTGTTGTCAAGCCTGAAGTCTGGTGGTAAAGACTTCTTCCATTGTCGAAGCTCAGACTCCAGGGCTTCGGATTCTGACCCCTCTTCCGCTTCGGTGAGAGCGCTGCTTGAATAAAATATAAGTTTATATTGTTCTATCAGAGTTGACGCAACATACCATGGTTCGGCAATTCGATCAAGGATCTTGATAAGACGACTGTACGCCATCTGGAATTGAATATTGTTGTATCTTTGCAGGCGATCGAGTGCCGGGAGAGGCGATGGATGTGGCACTTTGATTAGATTGGCATCAATAGAGCGAGGTTTGCTTAGTTTGACGGTAGTACATCTGAAGTGGTTAGTTAGGTTGAGCCTGACGATGATTTTGTTATTTACCTCTCAAGGGAATAGATTGACCACCATAACCGACACCGGACCTCTCTCTCCCGATCATCAACTACTTGATCCTCCGGGTTGAGATGAAGATCAAATGCCAGGGCTTTGCGCAAAGCCAAGCCCATATAGATATAGGATGATCCAATGGCATTTGCTGGCATTAGGTAGACACCTAATAGAAAAGGCGCTTGAATGGATCGGAGACAGGGTCGGTCAATCAGGGCGGGGATAAGCGTTTTGGCATGAGTGTAGAACACTTGGCCCAAATCATCATTATCCCGATGTAGGCTGACTGCGAATCCTTCTGGTCTTTCTAGTGGCGTCCATTGGCTGCCTAGTGCGAATGTTGCCATTGCAAGACAGACAAAGCTCAAATCAGATCTCAACGGCGAGTTGGTGTCCATGTAAAATTGGTCGATATCGGACAGCATTTGGTCCTGGTCCAAGTAAAAAAATGTATCTGTTCCGTGTTTAATTAATACCGAAATTAGGAAGTCGGCAACTGGTCGTGGGGGAATGCATCAATTGCTGCACGTAAACATGCCATCTCAGATGGATGGGGTACCTTTGGACGCGTCATATGCTTGAATTCGTTAGTTAGCATGGATTGAGAATCACAATATGAATATGACTCACAGCCTGCATGGCGACCATGTCTCTTTGTTCGGGAGCAGCATCTCTATCTAGCGAAAAGGCCTCCCTCAAGCGGGAGAGGATGTTTGGCCACGGGGCCCTCTTAGATTGACCTGCAACAACATGTTCGGCGAGCCTTTGGGACAAGACTGATGCCGGAGAAAGTGGATCATTGTGGTTGACACTATCTTGCAATAGCTGGGGTTGGCTAGTGCTTGATGTAATGGGTACGCTAGGTTCAATGAGGTCAATAGACGCAGTATCTTGAACAGAAGCCGATCTCTCCCTATCTCCTGTTACATAGATGTTTTCTCAAAGGTGATCGACTCACTACCTTCTAAACCTGCAGATTAGATTATTCGTAAAGCATCGTTGACATCTTCCCGGCATTGCCTCCACACACTTGCTTTTTCTGGTCTTGCAGCGATCGCATCTGGGCCAGTCAGTGGATACGCATCATGTCGGATGAATCAAACATACGCTCGGGGTGCTCTTTTGCGATCCTTGTCGGCAACCCGTCTCCTCCTTCGTCGTTTTGAGGCAGAGTCCATATTCAATTTGGCCAGTTATCCGAAGGGGGACCTGCAAAGGATAAGAAAAAGGACAATTTCCCGAAACTCGGCAATTTGGCCCGTTATCTACCCCACACTCCCTAATCATTGGCAATATCTGAATTGATTAAAGATTAAAGAATACGAGATAATTGGGGTAGCTTGACTCACAGCCCATATCTGGCTGATGGGTAAATTATGTGTCGGTGATTCAAGGCATGATACTACCAATAGGAAACTGCAGGCATCTGATCTTCTTCCCCCTTATTTGCTGGTTTGCGTGCTTCAATGGTTCCACGTTGGGATACCGTTCGAATTGACAATCTCATCATTCTTATGGCCGTCTCCCTCTCAGCTCCTAGCCGAGTATGGGTCTTGCGCATTGTCATCCCTCTGGATCGCACTGATCCCCATAGAATCCCGATACCATAACCAGAGCATGTCCTGTTGTTCCCGATCCAAGGCAAGGAATTGCCTACAAAGTTGAATCTCAGCCGAGCTGCGTAGCTCTAACAGCCGAATTTCCTCGTCCCGGTTTTCCCGCCTCAGTCGTTGGATGGACGGTAGCCCAGAAAGGATATTGGTGATGTTTGCCTCCACTCCACGTACCCGGGCAAGTGCACGGTGGAGGTTTTCAATATCAAATAACAAAATCTGGAATTCCTTGAAAGAGGATGCAGGGGTATGCGACAAGTTCGGGGGGATGGCGATTTCAAGGTAGAAACTGAGATCTTCCCCGTAGTACTGCACCAAGCTGTGTTGGTGTTCAGGAGACAGAGCTTCGAATGTCGTTTGGGCTTTTTGTACAGCCTGATCAGCGCTCTCTTCCTGGTCCCGCGCAAACCGAGTCACCTTTTCGACAGCTCTCTGGATTTCCGAGTGCTGGGTGCTGATATTTGGGAACGAGTCCAGAAAGCGATAAGTAGTCAGACAGCAATTCGTCGCATGGACAACTGTTTTCAAGTCATCAAGAGCTTGACGAAGCTCTGGAGCTAAGAATTGCTCATCAGTTGACGACTAGGTGGCAGGGGAGAGGTGTTAGCGTAATCATCCTAAAGTTATCTAGGTAGCTATACCCATATATACTCACTTCAGCCATCTCTTTGAAAGTTTGAAAGGCAGTTGTGTTAGACGGGATACGAGGATAAAGATGGAGTGCTTAGAGAAATGGAGGCTCTGGGACACCTGTTTGTTCAGGCCAAAGATTGTAATTGATTCATCTCAAAAGATTCAGTAAAACCTAAAACAGTATCCTTTCTGTATCTTTTCTTCTTCTTTTTTTATCTCAAAAGCAGAAAGATATCGGAAGGTTGTGAAGCTGATGTAATTTCCCTGCAGGTGACTTCTTAAAGTGGTGACTGCCCAAGTTCATTCCAGCAACTCATCTTCCTCCTCCTCCTCTCACAGCACTCTCACATCTTCAGCCATGGGGTTAGTTCATCTATCATCCAAAATATTACATTGCTAACAAGAAAGTTACACGCACTATTATGCCATACATGTCTGGGATACTCCTGAATGGCAAAAGGCCTGGGGCCAGCTCATCCAAGATGTCCCCAACATCATCAAAGAAGCCCGGGTTCCTCTCAGTGGCCCAATCGAGGATGAAGACGAGATCACACCAGTGGTTGTGGACTCCGAGAAAGGCATATACCTGAACGGGGTTGGAAGAAATGCCCATGAACCCTTCATACTGTGCAAGCCGGGCAAGTGGACTTTCTGCAAGACTGCTCGAAAGCCATATGATGTTGTCGTCACATCTCTCCTTCTCAGGATTTGGATGCTGGCACCGAAGAACCTGGATCTTGGGTATGCTACATTTTACCTCCATCCAGATAATTCATGCTAATTATCTATAGCTCTGATGGTGGCTATGAAGACTGGGCCGATGCGCGTGACCTCTGTGCCACCTTGTGGCCTGGAGAGCCGATCGATGCCATGTGGGCACAGGGTGATGAGGAAAATGACGAAGCCAAAGATGAAAGTGACCAAGCCAATTAAATACGCAAGCCTACCTTTTAGGGGCCACTGAACCACTGAATTTTCCTATGTTTTATTCGGTTCTCTATATGGCTCACACTGATCACCTTGACATGCCGAGATCATGAACTTACTCTTTATTTTTCTTTCAAGCTTCTATCAAAACGTCCTTTACACATAGAATCCGAGGGTTGCGGGGGTTTCCCTAGGATCAGCCGTGCCGGTGAAACACAACTAGTCTCGTTTCTTTTCTCAGTCCGGGTTCTTCCCGCCAAAAGAAGCGATATAGGTGCCATGGGACAAAATCCCCTTTTCAGGTATTGACGATGCCTGAATTATGACTGACAGAAACAATGAGGATAGTTGAATTAATAGGTACCTGTGTATTACAGACACCTTAACAAAGAAGGTACCCTATCCGTTCTGTGGGTTGATTTACTATCAGGCAAAAATGCTATTTGTACTATACAAATTTATATGATCACCACATTTCAAGGTTTTTATAGCTTACAGCTCATAGGGTCTCGTCGTGTATTTTTAGATGTTCTTTTTTGGTGTCTTCTTAGATATCTGTTTTAGATATATGTAAAGGTGATAAGAAGCAATACTTTTTGCAGACGACCTTTCTACATACGTGTACGTAATTATATGTTTATGCATCCCGAAACGGGGGCTTTCTCGCATGACACGTATACTGCTGGATATCAATCCTGTTTTGTGACCTTAGTTAACAACTATTCACTCACTCAACCAACAATCCATTCACGTTCTTGTCGGTCGTCCCAGGCGACTGGAACTAGATACCCTTCATCTGGCCATGGTACAAAGCTGGCAATAGATTTGATTGTCCCCAGGGCTTCATATCGTGCATAATGGACTGACTTCTCCGTCGTTTGCAGTGACACCACTGCACACGATCTCAGTGATCCAGGAAGAGACCCTTCTGACCCGTGCACAATAATCCCGTACGTTTTATTTGGCTCGAAAACGACAGGGACTTCAGTCTTCACCAGACATACACTGGGCATGTTGTCGGCATCTTCAAGATTATGCTCTTTGATCCACTGCAACCAGGTCTGATGTCCCTGGTCATTGTCGATGTCAAAGAGGCCAAGGTCAAACACGATGCGGGACGGGAACAACCACGACGGGTAAAGGGTAATCTGAAGTCCGCGGGGTGTAATATTTCCTGGTCCGCCGGAGAGGTATTGGATTTCTTCAGTATACTGGCACACTTTCATTGCCCAGCGCATCCCCTCTTCTTCGAACCGTGGCCCGGGCTGGAATAGCACGCCTTGAGGAAAATTGTCAATCAGGCTGTAGAACTTTCTCATCCGTTCATCGGAACCCTTGACCTGGAGAATTTCCTTCACGTCGAGATTGAGGATTCCCGCTAGAATAATTGGACGATCGGCTGCCTTGCTGGTGGCTCGCGTGGCTACATTAAACCAATTCCATCGAATTAGTTGATCTTTGGTAACGTCGCTTTTGTCAAATGGACTAGCAACTAGGTTGACAAAGCGTTCGAATTTGGATGTGGAGACAATAGTAAGGTTAAAGAAGCTGAACCAAACACCCATGGCGAAGTTTGCAATCCTCTCCTGCATGACGGGGAGTTTCCCTCGGTCAAGCTTGGTCAGGAGTTCGTCGGCAATAGTGGCAATGTTGACTGCCTTGTCAGAGAACAGCACGTACAGCCTGCTCTTAGCGGCCAGTCCTTCTTGAAGCGTCCATAACCGGCGCATCCAACCCGAACAGTGCAGCACCCTCAGGAGAAGCTCTAGGTGACTTGTAGAGCTGGCGCTCACATGTCTCATTTCCGAATCAATGATCATCGTCCGGTAAGCTATAATCGGTTAGGTCACCACCTAAGAACGTCCAGTAGTTTGTTAAAAGCTCGCACTAACCATCCTCGTATACTTCACGAATGCGCTGAATCGCCAGGCTCCGAACGTCGGACTGATGTGGTATGCACAAGGTGTCAATCCATAACAGTACTGAATCGCCTCTGCGCAGAGTTTGGCTGCCCGCGAAATGGGCAAGTCGAGCCGCGCTAGTGTGCAGTGCTGCAAATGGACCGCCCTCATAGCGAGGGACATATTCACCGCCAGTGAGGACACGCCTTGCCTCCTCGTAAAGGAGTCTTAATTGGCAGTTCGGGAGACTGTTACCTTCTGTGTTGCCGAGCCCATCGGACCACACATGCGAGATGGTCAAGTATTGCTTCCCGATGCTCTTGCTCACAATATTAACCTTGAAATTCTGGTTGCCGAGCTCGTCCACGTCATCAGGTGTGAGCATCAAAAGGGGAACCCCTCCATCCCGGAGAATTGTATGCAGCTGCTCGATATTTGCCTGGAGGTGCGAACAAGTGCAATCTTCTTGTACGTGCCGAGTGACATATTCGCTCTCATCGACGTTGTTAGCCACGCATTCCGTATTCTTGCAGAACTTGTGCGTTATCTTGTTCCAGCCAGGCTTGACACGCATTAACTGAAGCAGATACGCCGGGGTGTCCACTCCACCACCGGCCACGCGGCACTTCGCTGCCTCCAAGGGGCACCATCCCTCTGCGACCATGCGCTTAGTCTCACTTTCTCCGGTGAACATCCATCGCTGGACATGACGGGTCTGGGTCTGAGGACCGTCTCGCTTGACTGCAATGTTCCAGAAAACATAGCAGACCAGCCGAATGGCCAATGACATTTCATCCCGCACATAATAATTTCCATACCCAGAAAGTTGCTCGCAGACTTTCTTGACAATGTCAACGGCTCGCTCGCCAAGTTTCCTCTTCTTCCATTCCTTGGCGTTTTCGACATATTTATGGAGATGCTTTGTCGTGATGTACTGCTGGGGGTCTTCTTCCTTGCACAGGAGAAAATCAGACTGATCCAGCTGGTCCCCGAACACATAGTGGAGCATGCCGAAGTAGAGCCAGCACTCTATTCCAGAGTGGAATCCCTGTGGGATTCTGCGTAGAGGGAACTTTTCAGCTCCTGTTTCCAATTTCCACCCATGGCGGACTGGGAACTGGTCCCAATTGCCTCCATCGTATAGTGAACCGTTGTACTTGATTCGAAGAGGCCTCGGGGGTTCATCAGGGAAGAACACATGCTCCGCCATTGTGATAGTCTGCCCAACGAGGGACTTTCACAGGCGCACTTTTCCAGTCAGATGAAGCCCCGCGCCAGCATAGCGCTAAAACGCTAGTCTCGTACTGGTTGGTCGGTTCCCGTGCCAAGAAATGCTCGTATTTGCTCTCCACGTTGTTGTCTCCCGAGGTCGTTTGCTGCTAAACTGTTTTCCTTGTCTTCATGCTTCCCATCTTCGTATTCAGCCTCTGTTGCTCCAATATGTATTTTCAGGTCATATATAAGTAGTAATTCTGTGATATGATATGTTATTCTTTCTACGCCGTGGCATTTTAAGCCCTGAACACAATGGAGTCCTAGTGACAAGTAAAAATTGGAGAAGGCGTGCGTAGTCGCGTACAATTATTCGGAGTAGAAGAAAGCAGTTGTTTGCGCATGGAAAGCAAAGTTTTGGAACACAATGCATGCATGAAACGACGGCTCTTTCTCCTTTGCTTGGATCAACAAGAGAGAATACCACCCGCGGGGGCAGGACTTGGTGGAAAACTGTCATAAACTGCGGTATCGTACACCACTTTTCAGCCTGCCTGCGTCCTGCGCATCTGTTTGTTAAACTCTTTCCCTTTCGCCGCCCGTAGTAGCTGGCGTCGAAGTTCCGGTTCATCGCTGGACCACCATTTTTCCTCCCACGGTTGTAGGCCGCCGCCTCCAGGAAAGAACTCTGGGAGCAGAGCTCGACCAGCCCCCTTGAAGTCCAACTCGAGCTCCATCAGGGTATGCATTACCTTGAATTCAGCGAATACCATTGGTATCGGACTTGTTTCACTCCCTGAGTTCGGATGCATAGCCAGTCGAATCGGTATTCCCAACATCTCCGGCTGACGCGGAGCCCCGGCCGTGATAAGATTTTGCACCATGCCAATGCCTCCCACCGCGAGTAGATACCATGCATGGTCCTGAATCCCCGTGCTGCTGAGGAGAAGCATGAGCCACAGCACCGTTAACAGGAACGTCATCATGCGCGTAGTATTGCCAGGGCTCATCAGTCGTATCAATAGGCTCCTACGTGCCCGTGCCCGCCCCTCCTCGTCCTTTGGCAACTGCCCCCCAGCCATGTCTTCCAAATCCAACCCGCCCTTCGACCCTCGCACCACGATCACATGCTGCATGCCATTACCAAGCGTCAATGCAACATCCTTGCGCTTATCCAAGATTCGACACGCCCACTTCTCCTTCCGCCACTGCGGCAGCGCACCAGACACATAGGCCAGGATGGTTCCGGCCACTGTCACCAGGAAGATACTCCAGTCTCCGTACAAGCCAAACGGTATCGCACTGATGCCTAGTTGAACCACCGTCACGATGATTCCTAGCCAGTGCACCCAGTCATGACCAGGTCTCGCCACAGGATAGCTGCCATCCAGCGCCCACTCGTAAACAGCAACGCAGAGACGCGCCTGGTAGGGGCTCACAAATTTGCGAGGATTGGCGTATGTTTCTGCCGTTGCTGCGCCCTTCTCTGACATCTCCGTGTCTGCAACCCCGGCTTCCTCATCCCCGTACAAGACCGGGTGGTTTTCCAGTCGCTGTTCCACTTCTTCCGGCATCCAATATTCGTAATTCTGAAACACCCGCCCCAAAGTCCAGGACCGGTTGAATCGAGTATACCCCGTGCTTAGGTTGATTACCCGGAGCGAAGAGTCAGGGCTTGGGGGCATCATGTTGTCCTCGCTTTGGGCAGTGAGTAGTGCCGAGATAGCGTACGACACCCATCCGAAAGAGAAGGTGACCGGGGTGATAGGTCCGCCGGAGAGGGCTGCTAGAGCGAGCCCAATGACATCTCCGCCAATAATCAAGAGGATCGAGAACAAGTCCGATGGATTGACCCACTGTGCGCGGAAACTGGCTGCTGCTTGATCCATACTGTGGAAAAGCTGGATTCTACAGCTTCGGTCAGCATTCGATGAGAGAAGACTTCACCTGCAGTAGCGCTGGGGCCCCGGGGCTAAACGCTAAACCTCGCTTACATCACGAAAAAGGCGGTAGAGAATCAGGCATGTTAACATTGGAAGGCGCCAATTCCCCTACGAGCCGCATCCGACCCCTGGCCGTTAGATATTGGTGCTTGAATATGCCTTATTTTCTTACCTGAATTGTGCGGGCAGAAAATAAAGATACATGCCCGAATTACTATAAATTAGCCCTTAGTAAGTAAAGAAGTACCTGGATTCTTTAAGGTTGACAAAATCAACACCTTACAAAATAAGAATATGACGCTATTCGCACCCATACAAATCCTATGATTCGTTTATTTCTAGGCGTTGCCCAGATGAAGCCTTCCCACTACGTAATCCTCCAGTACCCAATCTCGTACGCTTGCTCTAGCCGCGGTTCGAAACCATCCTTGAGTAATAGCTTCACAATCGTCAGATAATGGGATGTACTCGGTCAGGGCGGGAGGGGGCGCTTTACCGGCTAGAAATAGGCGATAGGCGATGGTGGGAATAGCTTCAATATTACCGGGGAGCTGGAGTTTCATTTACAATACACTGTATAGAGCGGTATAATAAGGCGGTAGACGGTCAGGCACCAATACCATTACAAACCACATTACAAACCACATCCGACCCCTGCCCAGGTGGCCGCTATACACCTGCGTAGCCGACAACCTTGGAAATCGTGGTGTTTTTAACTTCGGCATAACATAGTCTGGTGATTCGCTCCCCACCGCACTAGGCAGGTTTGGGTACTTGAGAACGAAGAAATTATATATAGTAGGTTCTAATCGCGGTCAGAAATAATGGTAGATATACCCACCCTCTACAGAGCATATTTCTAACGCCCGTCAGAAATAATAGTAGATATACCTAGCAGTCCATAGTCAGCTAATATTCAAATTGATAAAATACCATGCATAGCCCATTACAAGTCCCTGGGAAAATAATATTAACTAGCTAGCACAAAAATCATGTCAGTTCACCCATCGAGATAGATAGGTGGAAAGGGCAAAGGACAGCACTCTGAGGTTTGATTACAGGAACAGGTCAAATTGAAAGTTGTAGCTAATAGGTGGGTGATGTGATACTCGTCAGAGAAGAGCACCTCTATTCACAGTACAAAGGGACATGGCGATATTGATGATATTGAGCAATATCCCATAATCCCTTTGCTCGTTGTGAACAAATATCGTCACGCACCGCTGGAATTGCGACGTGCTTAGTCATCTCAATCAACAAAGGCCACACTTCAGGTTGACGGAGAATTTGTAAATGACTGGACTTTGGATCTCGAAAATCCCATTGTCTCGACCATACTTCTTGTCCAAATTCTGCACCCAAACTCGAACTGTATTCAAAACCGCAAGAATGCCAATCACCACAAATTTCAAACTGCCAAGTTCGGCGAAAGAGCTGGCGCTGAGCCCGGACTCGAAATTATTCATTGCCTTCATATCTTCACCAGATCCAATTACCAATCAACCTTGGTGCCCAGACGTACGGGATGCCTTGCCACATATCAACAAGGCATTTGAAGGAGATGATGCGCCAGAATTAGCTATTATCGAGGTTGGACAAAAGCCTGAGTAAGTTTTACCATTGTCGTGCCTAAACTTGTGATGTTTTCTTTCCAAATTATATTGAAAACATGTCATCCGATACATTGAGCTGATATCTATCAGATGGGGTAACCCTCGGAATGTATACCGCACAACGTGGGGCACTAACAACATTCCCGCGCTGGTACGCTATGAGCAAGTCAATGGGAAAGTCACCGAGACGGGAAGATTGGTGGAAGCTGAAATTCTCAACAAGAAAAGACTCCGGGAATTCATTGTCTAATGGTATCTGCCCATACCAAATTGCACTCGATATCTTTAAGTTACTGGTCGGTTTGCTGGCTATCAAACCCAAATGTCAGTTGCGTCACGCGAAACATGGATTTACCACCATCTGAGATCTCGGAGTATTGTGAAACAGGCGTAAATAATACCAGTAGATACTCTTTATACATATTTTGTCCATCCGTAGAAAGAATCATAAATATCCCGAGGATGTCTTAAACCTTGAATCCACCAGGCATTAGAGTCTGGAAAACACCCCGAGAATCATACTTCTGCGCAATATCACGGAGCTTTTGGTGGTTCTCAGTACCATAGCCAGGGAAGATAGACTGGAATCCAGCAGCATCGCCAATGTAGTTAAAGGCATCGTAGAGACCGGCCTTCTGGGTAGCATTGTTAATCTTGTACGTTGTCTCTTCCACCCAGGAAGCAACAATTTCATCGTAAGCCGACCCAATCCACTCAACCACCTCCGCGTAGCAGAGATAGACCTGCGAGGAGTCCAGGCCGAGGGCGTTCCCGCCACGAGCCTCGGAGGCCTTCATCCAGTCGGCGCCGATAGGTTGCCAGTCCAGCTGAATAGTGGAGATATTGGCGGTAGGGACCTGCGCGTACAGCTTGGGGAGCTCGTTGAAAAAGGTTTGGTTGATGATACTGATTCCACTGAGGAGCTCCTTGTAGCTTGTGCCCTTAACGGTTCCGGCGACGAATACGTCACTAAGTCTAGTTAGCTACTAGTCCATGGTATTCCGAGCGGAAGATCATACTTGATGCCATCAACCACCACTACGGCTGTTTCAGCGGTAAATTCGGCGACCGTCTTAAAATCAAGGGTGCTGCTAATAGCTGGGATATCGGTAAACGGCTTGAAGATATCGGGGTAACTGATGGTGTCGCTGTCGTAGAACAGAATCACGGAGGCGAGAGTAGTCTCTCCGGGCACAAGGGCCGGTACAATGTGCGTCTTGGGGTCATAGATGTCAGATGCGTAGGTAGCCGCAGCCTAATGAAACTAGTTAGTAGCCAATCCTAAAGCAACCAAAAACACCAATATGACATACCGCCAGGAATTGATCTATGTGCTCAGCAGATACGGTGTGCGTACCAGCCCAGACCTTGACTGACTTGATAGTCTCCAAGTCGAACCGGGTGACGATGCCGAAGTTACTACTTCCACCCTTCAAGGCCCAGAACAGATCCGGATGGCTTGTCTTGTTAGCTTCCACAATCGAGCCATCGGCAAGAACAATCTCGTAGTTGACAACGGTATCACAGCCGAAACCAATCTGGTTACCGTAGAAGTTGACACCGCCGGCGAGTAGCAACCCAGGCACACCGACAGGACCGAGACGACCACCAGCAGCAGTCAATTCGAACTTCTCCAGATATTCGTAGACATCACTCCACCTAAACCGAGGTAAGTAAATATTATCACCGGTGCAAACAGAACGAAGCAAAGAACTAACCGGTGAGAAGGGCCAATGGACACAATGGACTGATCCTTCGACAACTCCAAAGTAGTCAAGTTCGACATAACAATCAAAACACCATCATCGATATTATTGGAGCCCTGCGACCATCAGAACAGGGTCAAACATCTTATTATAATTAGTAACTTGAAGATCAAAAACCTACCCGAATACCCATGTGTCCACCGCCCCGAACAGCGAACTGAGCATTGGCATTGGCCAGCGCCACGATACCCTCCGCAAGCTGCGCGCTGGACTGCGGTCGGAACACACAACCAGGGGCCATCAACTCTGTGTTTGACCAAAAGTTCGCTGCCTCGTACTTGTAGATACTGCTGCTGGCGAAGAACAAAGAATCCCCCAGGGGCGTTTGCAGCGCCTTACAGCCTGCCGCGACATTTGGCGATGTAGCAGCGACTGTCGATGCTGCAATTACGCCAACTAGCGAGAACATGGCTAATGTTATGCGCATGGTGAATGAGTATACCTGGGTAGTATACAACTTTGGAAACCTGGTCAATGGAGAGCGGGGTGAAACGACAGGGATGGGAGTCTTGGCTATTCACTGCCTGGGTTGTTACTAGATATGGGCGTAATTCTGAATGACTCTGGGGCTACTCCGGCTTGTCTAGCTTCTCTAGCTTCTCTAGCTTGCCCCCTAGCCAGTTCAGATTGGATTGTTTTGGGCGGGGAGTTCATTTCATCCACTTCGTATATAGTGGAGCCATTTTGCCGAAATTGTGATCGACGATACAGCTGTTGTAGGGTATGTGGTAGGGTGATATGTATAGGATTCCAACGAGATTCTATTTCTATGATCCGTGTGCGGAGTAAACTATATACAATTGAATGATATACATTGCCTTGAATGTGAAGATGTGGGATTTCTTCAAGTCGTCCAGGGGGCTGGAAGCTTCCGACCCACCTGAACTTATAGAACCTGAACATGATTGGATTGAAATATCGGACTAAGCATGCAGCATTTGTTTACGTGAGGTGTTATAGGGTATCTATCTCCACTATATCTTTTGCCCATCTCACAACCTCGTCCCATTCCTCACTGTGGTGCATAAGATGCTCAGCAAGGCTTTGTACTATTGTCTTTCCAGCCACTCTAGCCCACCACATCCCCTCAAGACGTCCCAGCAGAGCTCCCCAGCAAATGTATATAAGTAATGCTAAAGGCTCTTCGCTTTGAACTTGTTCGACAAAATCCCCACCAGCCATAACTATCCACGGAATGACCATTCCTTCGGCTAGAGCACAATGCTCAAGTGTATCGATAGCGTGTCCATAGATCTTTTGTGATGGACCGTCGATACCACAGCAAAGCTTCTTTAAAACGGGAGGGAGGGTGCCATCTTCCGAAAACAAGAACGTTGGATCAGCTCCAGACCAAGGTTGAATGATAAAATGAAATGGCCCTTCATCAAGTGACGGGCGAGCCTGGTCAATGATCGAATGAATTCCTTTCACCAAATGGAAAAGAGATTTTAAATCAGGGGGCACTCTCACTCTGGTCGCGAGCTTATCATCGGTGTTGCTTTCCAGTGATGGGGAAATAACAGTACAAGCCATCATTACCACCGAACACGCAAAAAGCGCATCGCAGTTTATTGGTGACACGTTTTCAAGTTCTATCCGAAAGGCAGGCAATGATCTGCTCTGGTAATGTAGGGCATCACCTAGAAATTCTGCCTTTTTTGAACTGTGTATAGGGAGTTCAGCCGCCATGTGAAATGACGTAAGGGCTAGCAGTCCGTCCATCAGGAATGGGTAATGCAGTGCTTGTTCTACCACGTATGTTTGGAAAACTTCTTTCAGTATTGGCGAGAAACTACTGCATGTTTTCAGTGTCCAATGATGCATCAGTTGCAATTCCCGTGTGCGGGAAACCGATGGAGTGCTCGGAGTACTCTGAACAAATCCAGGAAGCGGCCTTTGATGTGAGTTTTCAGGCCCCGTATTCTGTAACTGCGTACTTGTTGGTGGATGTTTCTCGTCATATGTCCCAGTCCAGCTGGAAGGTCGAAAAGGGTTACTGGTGTATTCACACACTGCATTTCGAGCCTTGCAAGTCGCGCAAGGAGGTCCACTTTCGTCACATTTTATCCGCCGTTTCTTACATCGGTTGCAACCATCCCGGGATTTCGTGTGAGGGCGTCTCTGGGGCATGTCACGATGAATTTATGAATTCTGCGCCGACATGAGGTTGAACAGGAAGGTAATAAGCATTCCAAGGCAAAATATTAATCCGTTGCTATATCTGAAGGGCGGTGAGGTTATCTGTCTCTCAGATGTTGTATGCTTGAAAGATTCTCCCAACATCGGATTCACTTATGTATTACAAATATAGGGCATCTTTCCCACCCATTTCCCCTCAATCGCCTCATCCAAAACCCATCTCGCAACACTAGCCCTACTAATCCATGTGTTATCTATCCCACTACCCAAGTAGGTTGCATTAACCGGTGCCTCCTTTCCGTTTGTAAGCCCCCCAACTCGAAATAATCCCCATCGGAGGCCATCTGTGTCGGATGAGGAAGAAATCGCTTCTCCGACACCTACCATCTCCTGATATTGACCAGAACTGAATAGCTTCATGAACCATTTTCCTGCCCACCACATCGATGTTATAACATCAGATTCATCTCTGAAAGATGGAGTGCAAAGGATGAGAATACGGGTTATGTTTTGGGAGGCGAGTTTTGGAATGAGGATTTTGTAGGCATCTGTCAAAGGCTAGATAATCTGTCAGTATCCCATCAAGACGTTACAATGATTATAGAATGAGCTCATACTGTGCCCTGCACTCCAAATGCTGGTCCTGCAAAAGAGATAAAGATGTCTGCTCCACATTTTGCGGCTTCTTCCAGGTCCGAATCGGCCTCAAGCGTGCCTACAATAATCTCTGTTCCTTCGCTCAGGCGGATGTGTTCGGGAACTTTGTTGGCATTTCGGACAAATAGTGTAAGACGATGCCCTTCATTAAGAGCGATATCACAGAATAGACGGCCGATAGCACCTAGGTCACATTCAAGTTAGAAATTCTGCATCGGATCGAATGATAGAGTGATGAATACCAGAAGCCCCTAGAACAAGAATATGCATCTTTTTCGAAATTCTTCAAGTGTTTTAGCTTTGAATCGGAGATTTGAAAGAAAGTCTCTGGGGAGGGCATTTTATACTGCGTAGGTAGTGGACTATAGATGATGCCAAGCATTAGCCCCACCAGAATACGCATCTTGTTTGCCAAAAACGGCAATTTAAACGCAGTCTTCTAGTGAGGCAGATCTTTGAACGTCAGGCCAATCAACACCCTGTTAAGGAAAGGTCAACATCAGTCCTGGCCACTGATAGATATCCGCTTCGAACGTATGATCTGCGAAGGCTATCGCCACTCTTCTAGTACCTTCCCTCGGACGTCCATCTACAATCCCGACAGTTAAATGGGGCCCACGGCTATATAAAGGCTGGGTACGTGTGGGTGGAGAGATGAGCGGAACGGCCCCTTTTACGGATTTGTGTATAAAGCTGAGGCCTTTTGGTTACAATTCATCTCCGGCTAATAGTCTTGACCCTCACTGCATCAGATTAGTGGACTATGCTATATTGTATCTTTGACTCACTTGGCTTTACCGAATAGGGACAACGTAAAAATAAACGTGAAGTGGGACTGAAGATAATAATGTGAGGCTTTGACCTTCCACGAAGCGTAAGATTAGAGAGAGAGTGAAGAGGAAAGGAAGAAATAGTAAGGTAAATATAGGGCAGGTATACCCAGGTGTATAGCAAATAGCAAAGCCAGGTATACTTAAGGTACTACTTAACTTCTTATAAATCAAAAAAGATCTTGTCCCCCGAGAAGATTGATGGCTTGCGCGAGCTTTTCTCTGCGGGCAGTAGGTGCCCATATTTTTGTCAGTGGGTTCCTTGTCATCCTTTTTGACTCAATCCACGACATTCAAGCCGTATATGAGGGAGACTGTATCATAGAAGTCGGGGGGTTACGAACAGTCTATAATGATTATAGACTTGAACCCAGCGCCAACATCTTTATATCCGGTATAGAAGTTAGCGAAAAACATAAGAGTCTCGTATAACGATAATGTTTTCCGACTAGATCCTAAGAGCTAAGAGCGCTCTTTTATGCTTCCGCCGTCTACTACCCTAGTCTGACACTTATGTAATTGGAGACGTACGAAGTTCAAATAAGAAAAATAAGGTTTCTCGGATTAGGAAATAGGTTTAGCTGGCGACAGAGAAGAAAGGGTAAGTTTCTTCCCTTTTTCCCGTACTTACTACTAAGGACTCCGAATTATTTATCTAGATCGGTATTATCTCCTATATATTCGACGATCTAAGTTCAGTTCTTCCGTTTCCCGCTAGCCATCGGCACTACCTTAGCCTTATTATAGACGACAACCTACCTCAACTTATCAGCCCGCCTAGCTATGCCGTTATATCAGAATAGGCGTTATACTCCAGTATACTCACCAGGTCTAATATATACCTAACCCGGATGAACACAATTGTTAGGAAGTAGGTTCCACTCGAAGGAACGGTGGACCCTAATGCAATCAGAAACACAACGCTCATAGGGACCGAGTACCTATGGGACCGCACTACGTATTCATAGACCGCGTCACTTTATGGAAGACGAATATGCTTTTTTTTACCAACCTCGTATATACCTTAAAAAAACATTTAAAGTATAGCTCAAAGGATATCTCAAAAGACAACTAAAATGGACATAAAATGGCCGTACAAGCGGCCGATAATAATTTTTGTCTTTTATATGCCTCCGGCGATGAAAGAAGCGGCGAGTAGTTATGAACCAGTGGCATACTTAGTTGCCCGTAAAGCACTCGTTAAGTGTGTGTTTTTTTTTGTTTTGTTTTTGTTTTGTTTTTGTTTTTTTCACTCCCTGAATCAATACGGTCTTCCATAATTTCCACAGGCAATAACCAACACCGGGGAGGGATTCCCGCATATATCCGCGCCGTAATAAAGAACAGGCCGATTCAGACCGTCGAGTGTTCTCGGCCCTCTAGAAACCTTCAGTTTGTTCTGGCTTAGGGTTGTTTGACGATTCTCAGAAATTCTTGCTCTTTGCTGTCATTTTGAGACCACCCGGGCCACCATATGACTTATCATGTGGCCGTCGTTTAGTCTTAGTCTCATAGTTAGACAGAGAGAATGGATCATTCCTCCCGCACTAGTTTTTGCTGTTACGGATTCATAGTATGGCCTGCTGCGTTTAGCCTTCGCTCGGCCTTTACATCCCCAATTCTGCCTAAGTGTTATTTATTATGGAGCTCATTCGTTGTCAGAGGAATCAGAGTCTGTGGAGATTCCACTATCGTTCAGGTACTGGAACATCACTTGTCTTACGTGATCGCCATACAATACGAGACTTAGTCCCGTTAGAGTAGTCAAGCCCCTTCTAATATGTTGAAAATAGCTTTCAAGCATGAAAGGCGGCTCGGGTCAACACGCGGGATGAAATGTTAAACTGAGGAAATAGAGGAATTTGGGGTAGGCTCGTATTATGTGGGACACTGCTTGAATGATATTTGATATTTGATTGTTGATTAATTATATTTTCCATCGGATCTGCATTATACGAGCTCTGTCCCTTTTTATCCCTGGCACCCTGTCACTATACTGAGGTTGTAAGGAATGAAGAACTCGTATTGCACAGCCCTTGCCTGCCAAACCTTATTATCCCTGAATGATAGTCCCGATCTGAGAATCTAAGAATAGCTTCATTCTAATTCCCCGCGAAACTTAGTTGAATCTCGCCCCGGTCGATGTTGAAAATGAACTTCACATTGGCCTGTACAGAGTATACGGGTTGTTGATCCCAACCCAGATCAGGAATAGTTGTCCTCGTTTTGGTTCGTGTTATTGACAGAACGCGCGATGGCATACGAGCTTTACGAGCATGGTTTTCCCAATTATATTGATAGCATCATCTCGTAGAAGAAGCTTGGAGAAGATATAAATTCATCAAGTCCCTCCATGTCTATTTTCTTTCCAGTGACTTGTTCCTTGCTGGTGTGACCAACATCAATTATCACCACAACAATGCATTTTAAAAGTACTCTCCTCTGTCTCTCCATTACAGCTCCCTTCTCGGCAGCCTACCATCTGGCTGTTACCGATCAGCACTCCAAGTCCGTTCGCGTCTTCCCACGAGATGCTTCCAAATGGAACAAAGACGCCATTCACTGGTCTTTCACTGCCGACCTGAACCCATGGCCCTGGCAAAAGGATGTTTGGGCCGACCTTTCTGAAGTCAAAATCCGCAAAACTGCTGACCGGGGTCTGGTTGCCCTGGTCGCTGCTTCAGGTGGCAAAGTTGGCATGGTCGATATCAAATCGGGGCAGAAGTCCACGACGATAGACGATGTCGTCTGGTCAGCAACACCTGATGGTAACCCGCATTCCCTCGAACGAATCCCTTATCTAGGAGCATTTGTTGCTGCAAGCTCGGCCTCCCATAAGCTGACGCTGTATGTTCCAACTGATGCGTCAGATGTCAATAATCTGAAAAAGATCAAGAAGAGCCATGAATATACTGTTCAAAAGGCTCATGGGGTGCTCTGGCATGGTGGCAAGTTATGGGCCATCGGAGAGGATTACCTTCACAAATATGATGTGGTGGGGAAAGGGAAGGACATCGAGCTCGAGAGGGATGGGAAACCAATCCCTTTGCCTAAGGTGAAAGGCAGGGCGAGAAATGGGCACGATCTTTCTGCCAGTTACAAGGATGATGACATCTTGCTGTTGACGCATACCGCAGCTGCGTATAAGTACAACACAACCAGTGGGGAATTTGATGTTCTCATGGGGGTCGATAAGCTGAAGTCTCTGGTTCAGCATTCTTCTGGAGAGTATGCCTGGGTACGCGGGGCAAAAGGTGATATGGGACAGTATGTGTCGTTTAGTGATGAGAGTGCACCCAAGACCGTAACGGATAAAAGAGGGTGGGATGATGCTGAATTCTACAAGGCGAGGATCTTTGATCCTGGGTATGAATGATCCCTGGGTATCGGGTTGATGTATATATCAGAAGCAAAATCGTACAGAGGAATTTGTTTGACATGTAGCATACAGTTTTGTGTTGAGATTACATCTCGCTCCAATGCAAACTCCATACTTCACAGGGATTGAAGCTATATAAGACAGCGGTGGTGAAGCTATGGAGACGAACCTCATCTTTATATCGAGTGGGGAACTCCAATAAGCGACGAAACCGCCATGGGCTGGTAGATGCGTCGTCAAGTAAAGGATAGTCGGCAGGCGAACCTTTAGTCTTAATGCTGCTTGAAGTACGCACCTCGGTGATTGTTACTCCAGATGCAGCCTGATAGACTAACACGGTATTTTCTGTTGAAGCACCAGATGGTCTTTTTCAATTTGATGCTCACAATTCACAGCTGGGATTTTATTTCCAATCCCAAACTAGGGGCACATGAATAAATGAATACCCAGATACGATACACACTGAACCCCACCCGGTCAGAAAAAAAAACCCAGAAAGCTAAGCTCCAGAGAAGAAAAGAAAGACAACAAAACGCGATTGCATGTTCATGATCCATGACACAACCCAAGAGAGAGTCAGATATCATCTCTCACATCTGCATGGCCTCATCACCATCGACATCCGCTCCACCGGGTATCCGTCCCTCGTTAAGCTCTTTCTCCAACCTGGTGATCTCCTGCAGACTCTTCGCGTCGCGAATCAACTTCTCAACGCGTTTGCGCTCCTTGTCTGTGAGCTGTACTCGGACACCCTTTTCAGCGGGGGTGCGTTCAGCCGGGGTGGAGACGTCAAAGGTGCGGGACTTGACACCCAGAATCTTGGATGCGAGAGATGATGGTGCCTCGTAGGTGCCGAAGAGTTCTTTAGCCGTGGCGCGCTCTGCGTCAGTTACTTTCTGGAAGTCAAGGAAGCGAATAGAGGGAATGCGCCAGATGAGCCAGTATCGGTAGTTCTAAGAGAACCAGTCAGCTTAGCTTCCAACAGAATCAAGGCCGTATAATATATATAGCCAGATCTAACTAGTATATGCATGAAGGGCTAAACAAACCTCTTTGCGTGCCACTGGATTTTGGAGGAGAGACAAGTGTGTCAGCCGTCCCAAGGTCCGCAGCGGATCGAGGTCGGCAAGTTCAGACACATTGTTTTCAGTCAGGACCAGGGTCGTCAGGTTAGGCACTGAAGTAGCGAGTGCCGGTTGGATGTGATTGATACGGTTGCGGGCGAGGAGGAGGGTGCGGAGGCGAGGGAAGTGGGGGAAGTTTCCGAGAGAAGAGATGTCATTATCGGTGAAGTCGATCGCATCTTGATCCTAGGAGGCGTCAACATCGGGTTCGCATAGGAATAACTGGGTTGACTGCGGACCAAGAAATTGGTCTAGCAGCAACATGGAGAGAGACAATAGAGACAAATATGTCTCAAAATTTGGGAAGAATCACAGCACTTACTTTGGCGATACCCAGGTTCTCAATTGTGGGGATCTTGTGACCTACACGACCACACAAAAAGACGATATCAATCCAGCTCTTATCAAAAGTGTAGTACCTGTTCTTTTCAGGCAGGTTTGTAGTGGGTGAACGCACCTCGGAGATCCAGCTCACGATCTGTGAGCGGATTGATATATGTTAGGGAACTTTGAATGAGCTCAGCGGTCAAGCGCATGGTGACGGTGGTGGCGGTTACCAAAAGTAAGTGGTGTATGAGATGGTGAGTTTATCGCGACGGCATAGGGGAAGTGTTCTGGAAGAATATTGAACAAGCTTAGTGAATCAATGCAACGAGTCAATCGGAAGCTACTTGCGCCAGTTTCTCTCTACATCATTTTTGCCAGGCGGTGACAAAGCTGTCACGTGATAACAATATGCCTGGAAATATTGGCATCAACGTGACCTGGGTGCTTGAACATCGAACATGTAACTACCTACATATCTCCAGGCTTACCAGGTAGCATAGTCGATTGATGAGTATTAACACTAAGATGTACAATTCAAATGCAGGATAGACCTTGGCAATGTATTAATCTATATTCAGGGGAAAAAAACATTCTCAGCCATTAATAGTACACACCTCATTACATGTAAATCACCGGCCGGAGATCAAAAGCACCGCAACCAACCGACAAAAAGGTACTCCAGAGCACAGTGTTTGAAATATGATATGAAGAATCGAAAGCAGCCTGCCACAGCGCACGCAACTCGATAAAAAAGATGAACTCCCTTTGCATATGAAAAAGAAGAAAAAGAAAAACCAGACAGCGCCGAAATGAATCGACGCATGTTAAAACAATCAAACTCCAATTGAAAATGCCATGCAGTGTAAGTAATTATGCATAATTCGGGTCAGGGGAATATGTCGCGTTAGTCGTCGGCCAGGGGGGTCATGCTGGGTGATTTTTGGTGGGATCTTGTTGGACTGCCAGCTCTTGATCGACGGCCGTTGGTTGTAGGGCCTAGGGCAATGGGAGCCAGGTGGTCCCTGCTCTCCGTCCTGACTACCAAGCCTGCTCGATCCATAGCGATGCCTGAGCCACCGCCACCACCGCTAATCCCAAGACCAATCGTCCCCGTCGAACTATTATCTAACGCGTATTTGAAACTGGGAGTGTTGCTGTTGCTGCCCCAGCTCGACGCTCGCTTCGGTGGTCCCAGTCTAGCCGAGTCTGCCTCGGAAAGACGTCCACCATCCTCGCTCCCGTCGGACTCGGTAGCACCAAGCTCGTAATCTTGAGCACCGTCCTCGAGAACTCGCTCGTAAGAGGGGGTGCTTCGACTGATGAATGGCAGCATCGATTTGAGTCCCTTTCGTTTCTTAGGGTGATTAGGGTGCGATGGCCCACCACGGCGTAACACGTTACTCACGCGGTTGAAGATCCGTGATCGACGGCTGCGTCCGCACAAGAAGAAACCGGCCATTACAATAATGAGCATGAAGAGGACGAAGCCTGGGATCCGGCGCGGGGAATCACCGTCAAATAGTGTGTCATGCCAGTGCTCACTGTGGAAGCTGTCTGAATCCGGTAGTAGTTGAACACTGGGATACTGGAAGTCGGCCGGGATACCGTGCAGGTTGCTGCCAAATCCAACCGGGAGACCTCCTTCGATCTCTAGAGGTACCTGAGAAGATGCATACAAGACGATCTTACCCAAAGTCCAACTCACTTCGGTCGAGTCAATCTTGTTGACTGCCTGGAACGCATCAAGATAGCCCTTTTCTTTTCCATGAGCCAAGACTTCTTTAGTTCCATTGTGCGAAGAGCCCGTTGTATCCTCCAAACCCACGCGAGGCACTCCAATGCCATCATGTAGCATATTGATGATCCATGATGCCTTGAAGCATACTTCGTGGGCCTTTTGACGATCAACTTTCTTTCCCCATTTGTGCTGTTCAAGGCCGTGCTCAATGGAGTCCCAGTCTTGAGAGCAGAACATTTGAACCCGTTCTTGATATGTGTTGAAGTCGTATGCTTTATCCTTGTATCCCATCTCGAAAATCTCGTGGGTGGTATGCCAGTATTCGCTGATCCCGATAAAATGGTTCACATCAAAGTCGATAGCTGGAACGTGGATACCGTTTAACAGACACGGTTCATCTGCACACGGAGCATCCTTGTCCAGCAATGGGAATGTCTGACGGAGACATTCGTCGAATTTGCCTGTACCTAGCAGGTATGTTTCCGTCTCACTCGCCGACACGACTTTACCGTCAAGCGTAGTCCGTAATCCACTGGGAAGACAAGGGTCGGGCAACTCTTTGATATCTGGCCCAATTGCCGTCCGTAAAGCATCTAGATAGCGTCTTCGGGCTTCGTGCACGCCGAACTCCAACCACGAAGTGACAAACACCCTGTGCTCTTGAACCGATCCATCAATATTCCGCAATCGCAACAATTTGAGGTCCTCGGCATGCTTTTCTGTCTCCGTAACATTCGGAGCGAATGCAATTTGGGCCGATGCGCCACCCATATCGAGGAATCCGTAGGTGTTGTGCCCCTTTCCATGGTCGTGCTTTTCCGGGGCATCAAAGGATCCCATCAAGTAATTTGTCGCAATCCATCCATATAGTCCTTCTGTCACACCCGGAATCACTTGGATGTGAACACCACAGTCTGGTAGCAAAAAGTCCGAGTTGTCACGGGCATAAGAGCAGATCTGATCCAGAAGCAATTGTCGCTCGAGGTTTCCTAGCAGTCGCATGCCCGCAGTGGCGAGGAGAAATATGGGTGTATCCTTGGCATCCTCGGCAGGAACGATTCCCTTGGCGTGGTCTAACAGTTGAGCGAGATGGTCTGATCCAACCAATTCGGGTCTATTGGCGAATGAAGAAACACCTTTTTCGCAGGTGGGTTAGTGTCGGGTTGTTGGTTGATATTGACTCACGGACTCACCAGGGTGAATCTTCTTCGTCCATTCCTCCTTGGTTTTGATTTCCGGTAGCGATTTCAACTCCTCCACATCGGCGTGCTTTCGTGCAGCGGCATTTCGTAGCCATCGGTAAACGTGTACGCGAGTCCCCTATACGGTTGATTAGTGATCTGACTCCGAGTCTCCCAACCCAGGCCGACATACAGACGATCCCGCGTCCAGGACAACACCATAACGCCCTAATAAAAAGGTCAATTTGCCGCATCATGAAAAGTGGAGGTGGGTCTACATACATTTGCCCATTTGGACTTTTGATTATTCGCAGATCATGACAGACTTGTCAAAAAAGAAAGAGAACAATTCTTCAAATTAAAGAGCAAGAATATGGGGTAAACGAATGACAGGAAGTACAGAAGACTTGAGAGAGAAGAGAAAGAGAGAGGAGAGAGGGACTCCAGCCAAGAAAGATAAGGAGAGTGCCAAAAGCGGCCTGGACGCGACGACTCCGGGGCGGTACGAAACATGACGGGCCGCACTAGGAATTTTAAGTGGCGAAAAGGGCCCAGATTGGTCTGGATTCGGGAAAGTGGGGTCATTTAAGGGTAATGTAACTTTCTGTGACCACTTAATCCCTGTTTTTTTTTTTTTTTTTTTTTTTTCTTTTTTCAGCTTATTTTCATTTCATCGTACAATACCACGAAGTATAGCAGTATAATAGAATAACTAGGATTACTACTCCGGAGTCTAACATCTATAGTAACAAATATCGACAATATTATTGTACTCTCTCGAATATACCACATACACCAAGGTTATTTACTCCTGCAGATGTGTACACGTCTCACTGCGGCATGCAGATTAAACGTTTTAATCTTGACAGGGACAATTCAACTTGGATCCTGACTATCTCAACTTCATTATTTATTGTAGATACATATGTGTTATGGAGTACATTGTAAGCGGATATGTATTCCAGCCTCGTCATCATGGAATGTAAGTTGAAAAGGACCCTCGAACAGGGCTTACAGGGCTTACAGGGCTTACAGGACACTAGAATGCCGGGGAGAGGGGAAAGTATACGTCAGCCCCTCCCTTCCCCGGCCTTGGAAGCCGGAGATTCGTTGCGTCACTCTGGTGAAGGGTATATATGTCTTGGCCAAGGCTTTTCATGTTTTTCCCTGTGACTAGAATGATAAAGATAATCCCTATTATGGTAAATAAGCCTTTTCCCATGTATGAAATAAATGCGACCACTAGTTAGTATATGGATACTACCTAGTATCACTTACTATGCTCGGATTTAACACAAATTACAAGTCACAACTTTTTTTTTTTTTTTAGACATCTCTAAAATATCATTCATAAAAGAGAGGCAAACAAAAGGACAGAAATAAAATTAGAAACATTGAGGTTAGTAGATCCGAGACAGGTTACATGTTCTACATACAATTATGGGGGCTGGAGTCACAAGATGTGGTTGTAACCCTGTCACGTCTTGGTTTCCTGAGAGCCAACCACTACAGGAACCTGCCCATCAAGCATACTCCTGGGTGATGAAGACCCGCATAAATCGTTGAGGAGCACCCGCTCACCAATCTGCTCATCGATAAACTGCGCGCGGTCCAGGCCAACCATTTCTGCCTCCTCATCCACTCGCAACTGCATCCCCGGTATGAACTTGAGAATGTAGAGCAGGATACACGAGACAATAAAAGAATATGCCGAGATAGCACACACTTCGGCCAATTGTTTCCCAACTTGCACTCCATTGCCGTCAATACCCCCAGTAGCCTCGGTCACGCCATCCAACGCCGCAATAGACTGCGACGCAAAGATCCCGGTAAGGAAGGCCCCCACCATCCCACCGATACCGTGCAGCTTGAATACATCCATCCCCTCATCTATGTGTAACCATTCATTGATGTCTTGGAGGAGGGCACAAACGATACTCGTGAGAAACCCGATGAGGGCAGCAAGCCACACGGACACAAATCCGGCCGCTGGCGTGATGCCAACTAGCCCTGCGATTGCGCCTTCGCACGCTCCTACCACCGAAAACTTACCGCGGTGTTTGATATAGTCAACCAGCACCCATCCTAGTACTCCTGTGCAAGCCGCAGTATTGGTGTTAAATGCCGCTAGCATTGCCCGCACGCTAGCATTGAGCGCCGAGCCGCCCTAGGAGATGACTACTGTCAGATTTGGGTTCAGAAAAAAAAAGGGGCACAGGTATAACATACGTTAAACCCGAACCATCCAAACCAGATCAAGGCCGTCCCCAAGAAGACTAAGGTGGTGTTGTGGGGTTTCGCCTGTGAAGGGCGGTCGATATTCTTGCGCTTCCCCAGGACAAAGGCATAAGCCAATGCCGACCAGCCAGATGCGATGTGAACCGGGCCGCCACCGGCGAAATCAAGCGACGGGAGATTATACAACCACCCGTTGCTGTTCCAGGTCCAACAGGCTAGGGGACAGTAGACGACGGTCGCCCAGCAGAAGCTGAAGATGAGCGAGGGGATCATGTTGCCTCGTTCGAATGCTCCGCCGACAACGATCATGACCTGCCGCAGGATTCCATTAGTTTTGACTTCGCGACATTGAGTTGCGAGGTATTGATTACCGTGCACGCGCAGAATAGAAGCTGATAAAAGCAGAATACAATCTCTGGGAGATCGGCCGAGCCAGGTGATGGTGCAACCATCACACCTCTCAGACCAAAGTTCTTAAGGGTCCCAATGAATGGACTTGCATCCCGAGCATAGGCCAACGAGTAACCCCAGAACATCCATTGAAACGTTGTTCTGGCGAGATCTTTGTTAGTACGATGTACACGTGGGGTTGGAAGCAGACCTCGACATACACAGCCACAACCATGAACGCCTGGAAGAGTAATGCCAGCGCTGATTTTCTGCGTGCGAGCCCACTGTATAGAAGGCCGATCCCGGGGATGATCAACCAAACAATGAACGCGCAGAAGATGATGTAGGTATAGTTCCATTCAACGCCTGCGTATTGAGCATTTACGTCGACCTTGAGTGGGTCTCCACCTGTTGGGGTAGACGCATTGTATACTGGCTATATTATATGACCATGTCAGCTGTGTGCAAGTGTCATTTCAATACGTAGACTTACGCTGTCGGCCATGATGGGAGCTAGAATGGATCGCAATCCTCAATTCTTGGTTCGGGGGTCCGCAGCACATATATTCTCTAGTAGAGTGGACCTTCACATGGCTCATAATAGCTGGAGTAATGATTTCCAAGGATCTTATCTATTTTATGACAGCAGCCAAGACTCCATTGCATCAATGGGGAGGTTTAGATCTATAGTAATCACCCACGATTCATGGGAAATCCCCGGGTCCCTGCAATTTCTATGACTGTCAGATCGATTATTGACGATAAGAAGACTTAATCCGATCTGATCTAAGATAAGGATCCGAGAGGATGTTTTTCATGGAGTTTTAACCATCCAATTACATCTTGTTCTCGTGTTCACCCCCGGATCTTACAACCCTCTAGGGCTTAGGCTGTTATCGAACGGGCTATCTTATCTGGGGGACAAGCTTGGCATATGGTTTACACATGTCTTGGACTTTGAACAGTCCCGAAAATAATTCGGAGTGGTTGTATATTAAAGGAAGTATTACTCCGTATATTAAAAGCGAATAGGGTACCAAACCAGGATCTAAGTGTCCCTGTATAAATACCTCCAAAGCCTCGTCCTCACAAAGTCCCCACCCAATAGTTCCTTTCTCCCCACGTTGCCATCAGCCAGACTACACTACTACCAGAATAAACCTCATGATCATAGACCAACTTGCGATCCCTTACATATCTTTATATTCTAGATCATAAGATATGAATCTTGTGGTTAGAATAAAAGCTGTGGGGCTTTCTTATTCTTTCTTATTATTGAGGCTGAGTAGTCACTGTGGGGCATGTCATAGGAGATCTAAGACACAGAGACCAGCCAGTCGCCCAACTCTACTCCATACCTAGGTAGAATTGAACTACTCGGTAGGTAATAATCAGTTACTGACCAACCTATCATTTGGCGTATAGAATCGTGATCAGGATGTTGCATCTTTGGCTGGAGGAGTTTCACCGCACACTTGGTACGAAACCTGAGCCAGTGTTTGAAGCTATTAAATATTATTGCAGTTTCATTTGTCTAGGTAAAATTCTGAAATTGATGCTATCTTGACATGTTGATTAGGGGGGCTTTTTATAGATACGTATATTAGTGGGCGCGTAGAGTGGGGTCTATTATTATGCCTCATGTATTGACATTGGTCAGATATATAGATATAGATACAACCTAGGAATGTGATTGCTGCATAAGCCAGCTTCATGAGTAATTTCTTTCCAAAGTCAAAGGGCAGATTCACTTGATTTAGCCATCTCATCCAATACTTTCAGCCCTATAATATTGTGATGGACCCCACGGGAGGCTGAGCCCAGAGAGGATAAGAATAGAAATGGGAATGCTGTGGCTAGGGCGCCTATTAGATATGTATACTCCGTACTTGTGGAATAACACTCCATACTACGTATAGACTCCATACTATATAGATTATGATGTAAAGAGAGCATACAACTTGCACAGCCACACCTTGTGAGCCGTTCCCCAGTGAGGCTCCGTGGGAGAAAAAAAAGCGGAGCATTTTTTGGGAATTCCTGTTTCTTCTTTGAACAAGGCTGACAGGCATTTACCTGTGCCACAGACTAAGCTGTAATAGATTAGTTAGATTATTTATATTAGTTATATTAGTATATTAATATATGTTCTTATTGGAGATTCTCTTGTTAGTCCTGCATAAAATTATAAGTGGAGGGATGCGCCCGGCGCTTGTTCAGCTGTCCCCCTCATCTCCGACTGATCTTCGGCCCCCATCGCTTCTTTTTTTTTCTCTCTTGAATCTTCCCTCTTCATTTACTCTTTGCTTTTTGATTTTCAAGTTCAAGTTTAATATTTGGGGCATCGTCTGTCCAGTTCCCTCACCTTATGTATTGGGAGCGCCAAAAGACCATACCAGGACAAGGTCATCAGGACACAACAGGACACCAAAAACAAGGCAACAAACTCCAATATATAATCACAGAACTGCCTGCATATATTATATCCAACACCCCCAACTCGATGCTTTTTTAATCAGCTTGATTTGATACTTCCCATTTTCGCGGTCAATCTTAGGCTAATTGACCGCCGTTTGAATATGTCGCGCGCCTCCCCACTCAGCGCTCAGGGGCAATCGCCAACAGATGCGATTCAAGATCGATATGCTCCGGATCCTTACCTGTCAGCCGCATCCGATCCGGAGGAAGTCTTCTTTCAGGCCAGTGCCATTCGACTAACGCCAACACCATCGCGGGGAAGTCCTGGCCACAGTGCGGGACCTGGCTCATCCCCTCGTGAGGACGCTCGGATCGACTCCACAATCCAGGGCTATTTGAACCCGAGAACAAGTGATCATACGGACCGAAGCACTTGCACCTCCCCTATCTCTGATACAAGTGTCTTCGTGGAGCCAAAAGATATCGAACTGGATAGTGGTTCGACATGGCAAAATGAAAACCTGCCATCATGCAGGATTGGGGAGGGTAATGTGCCCGTCGATTCGGCATGGGGTTCGTCCATGGCACCGAATGCCTTTCAGTGGACGAGCTCGGACCGCAACCCGAACCCGATTCCATCATCCACGCTGGCAGGTCTAGAGCCTCATAGCAATTCTAGCGCACAACACTCAATCCCCACCTCGTATCAGGCTGGCCTCGGTGTCTTGAACGCAGCCGCCGAGCCATCAAGACTCCGCGTCTTGACCAACGAGGAGTCGACCACCGAGCTGACGTCGAGCCCAACTAGGGGAAGAAGCCCCGTCGTCAAAATTACAACTTTCACCCGGGGCGATTCGCCCGCGGAACGCAGCACGTCACCGCAAGGACGTTTCGGCCAGTCCTTTTCACACCTATCTGCTAACCCAAGCGAGCTGGAAGACGAAGATGATGGTGATCATCACTCGGTCTCGTCTGTTCCCGTGAAGCGATCTAAGGACGGCGGATGGATTCCAAACCCATCAACCCATCTAGCTGGCATTGATCCAAGGTCCCGTGGAGATGAATTTGTACCAAGTCCCAATGATATTCATTTTCAGCGAGAAAGGAACGAAAAGAATGAGGACATTTCCCACTGGTCTGTATCGGTAAGCGCCGCCAACAGTGATGCCGGTGGGGACTCGCCTAGTCCACCACGCCCACGCCCACACCATGTTTCCAGGAGACTTCGAGCGAGGAGTACCGGCGATCACCCTTTGAAACAAGAAGATTATTTCAACCTAAAATCCCGCACCAGAGACGCATCATTCCCTGGACCCGGTGTACTAGTTCATGAGAGCAGCGACGACATCAGCGAAGATGAAGCAAGCATTGGCACTTACTCCGACGAGCCCTCAGCCGATGCAGATGAACCTGGCAGATATGATCGCAGCACCCCCGATGTCTATTCATCTTTCTCTCCGACCGAAGCTGAAGAAAGTGTGCGTCTTTATCCCTGGCATGATCCCCCCCCGCGATGCGACACCCAGATTGCAAGCGATGCAGCCGGACAGCTCTACCGACGCTATGATAGCTTTTAACAAACGTGTGCGAGATCTTGAAACGGCATCGCTCGCGGCAACCATTGATAACAATAGCATTATCAATGTTAGTGCATCTCTTGAGAACTTTTCCTTCACCGAACAACCCAAGAAACGCACCAGTCTGTTTAAGCGTCAATTTCTGCAGGCATCCTCGATTCTGAAGCGCCAAGCATCTGACCTTTCCATTGGTCAATCTAATAGCTACCCCGGGCTTCCCCATCGTGATACAGAGGACACACCGGCAAAACCGAGTTATTCACCACGAAATGGGTTCCTGCACCGTCGCCATTCGCGGTCGCCAAGCTTGAGCAACGCACTTCTTTCAATGACCAGCCAAATGACGGCTATCGGGGGTAGTCAGCCTGTCCAAGCAATATCGCCTACACCCTCACCGAATCCGGAGAGGGGTTCCTTGAACATCCAATTTAAAGGTCGAGGTCGAAGCAGAAGCGAGATCCCCCGACCAAGTAGCCCCGGGCTAATTAATCTTATGACCGCTCATGGTGGACCACCAGTTCCAAACATCACATCGCCTCGAGTCAGTTCGGACACCGATCAAACACCCAGAAGTACACCTGTGGACCCTGAAACCGGAGGCGCCGAAGATGAGAATGATATGGACACCAGTAACAACAAAGGCGTGGTTATGGATTTCCCTGCTGTTCAAAGTCTCCCAGTACCCACAATCGAAGGGTTCAGATCGCAGATCATGCAATTGAATCCAAGGCTTGAGCCGGCTTTGATTCACCGCCTATCACATGAGCAAAATCGTCGATACAAGATCTTGGTTGATTTGCAGCAGAAGCATTCTATTGCAGCTGCCAACCATACGTGTAAATCCGGCAACTTTTGTACTGTTCAGGGAGGGCAACCCACTCTGTTGCAGGACCCCAAGGCCCCCAACGATCCTGAGGCAGGACAGATCCAGTTCCAAGTGACAAGTTTCAGTTATGGACATGAGCAACAGTATTCTCCAGAGGACGGCACGGGGGCCGCGACACAGTTCCCTCCCGGAGTGCCCCTTCCGCCAGTCACTCGTCTTCCCGCCCGGTTTGAGTGCCCCATTTGCTTCGAAGTAAAAACATTCCAAAAACCATCCGACTGGTCCAAACACGTTCACGAGGATGTGCAGCCATTTACTTGCACATTCCCCCACTGCACCGAGCCCAAGTCATTCAAGCGTAAAGCAGACTGGGTTCGCCATGAGAACGAGAAACACCGGCACCTGGAGTGGTGGACTTGTACATTCCCCGAGTGCAACCACAAATGCTATCGTAAGGACAATTTCGTTCAGCATTTGGTGCGGGAACACAAAATGCCCGAGCCCAAGATCAAAAAGACGGGCAAGGCTTCTAGCACGGTGGATGCTGAGGCTGTACCGAATAGCCGAAGGGAGCAAGAGCTTGATCGATTATGGAAAATGGTCGAAGAATGTCGGCATGACACCACGCAGGCCCCCCAGCAGGAGCCATGCCGCTTCTGCGGGAATGTCTGTAGTGAGTGGAGAAAGTTGTCAGTCCACCTTGGCAAACACCTGGAGCAACTAGCCCTGCCCGTTTTACGATTAGCAAAGCCGAGCAACGCTCCAACCCATGTCGCCAACCCCAGCCAAGTGGAGACAAATCGCGGATCAGTGGCTGCAACCTATCCCTCTGTCGCGCCATATCACCCTGGACACGGAGGACCCGAAACGGCCTCCACTCATCTGCAGCCGCAGTATGCGATCCGAAACACTAGCACGCCCGCCAACCCGGCGTTCTCAATCAACAACGTCCCGCTGACAAATTATTCCACCATCTCTGGCGGCGAACTTTCCATGGAGCCCGAGTCCATGACAGACTCTCTCACCCCTGATCAGTTCTCAGCATACACGCAAACGACAGACCAATTTGGCCAAACTACACTCCATCCCACTCAGGGCCAGGTCTATCCCCTGCATCAGAACTCGGTGACGTACCCACCGCCTTATAACGCCGTTCCGAGATCGAGATCCCCCGAGGCAGATCTCATGCAGCCCTCGTATCCCCTCGCTCAGTTTCTCCCTCATCCCTCTTTGTATCCCGATAATTACCCGGCTTACCAACCCATGGAGTCCAACATCCCCTACACTTCTGCGACTTACTCTTCTGGATGTTCCTCTCAAATGTGATTATAGATACGATTCCCTTGAGATCATCTTCCCCCCCTTTTTTGTTCTTTTCTTCTTTCCCCCCACTTTTTTTTTTTTTTTCCATTACTGCCGATTCCCCTTCCCCGTTCTACTATGAATTCTTCCAGATCAGCTGCATCGTAATCGATGGCACATGATCACTAGAAGGAATTCCTGTACCCTTTTTCCAGCATCAGCAGAGTTATGCAAGCAGATCCCAATTTTATGCATTTCTGGAATGATGACTATGATGATGATTTATCATGATCCTTTTTTTCGCATGTACTCTCAATATCTCTGTACATATTTTGGGCGCTCGGGAATTCCGTTTCAGACCGAATGGCGTATTTGCTAAACGGCGATGTGCATGGCATATGAGAGATCAGATTTATGTTTTGGCTTTTCCTCTTCTGTACTAGGCTGTTCCCACTTTCGACATGGTTCCACGGTTCATAACATAAAGTGTACCAGCCCTGGAGTGGACATCTGGAGATCAAATGGTAATCTGAGACATACGAGGTATACGAGACGAGACCGAGTATCTATTCGATTAACATCATAAATTCAAATACTTTCGTTTCAAAGTTAGACAACCCCCTTGACTCCTAAATCCGAAACTGCATAACATGTTCTCCGTCCTCCGTATCGCGTATAAACGTGCGAATTTATCTTATTTATCCCTTGCGGCACGAACATGGCAAGCGAGTATCGCCGTCGATCAGCAATGTCGATCGTCTGTCCTGTCACAGCCCAATCCGGACCTTGCTCCCTTGCAGCCCCCTCCTCCCTTTTACAGACTTATCTTAAGATCCCCATGAGGGGCTGGATTTGTCTTGCATGCCTCGTGCAGAGGGACTAACGACATTTTCTGTAGGTGTGTAGGTGTGTGGGTGTGATACGTGTAAACTATGGATTTATCTCAGATTATGTTAGAAGCGGGCTGAATCAACCCCGGGAACCCCGGGAGATGAGGGGAAAGTAGAGCCGATCGTCAATCGGACGACCTTTAAGGTGATGGTCCATTATTGGATATGAATCATCAGCCTCATTGTTAGAGAAGATATCATCACAATAGTTACCTCCTGTATACTCTTTACTCTGTACCAAATTATAATATTTACCCGGGTGAAGGGGCTGTGCAATCAAGGGATGACATGTTGCATTCCACGCTGGCAACACGCGAGGGTGAACTTTGTCTTAGCCCTTTTACCTTTCAAATTTCAGTATTGCTTTTTATTTTTATTTTTATTTTATTTTTATCAATTTCTTCCTTTTTCTTTTCTTTTTTTTGAGCATATTCCTAATCATGTTCGCTTAACACATTCCAACCCTTGAATCGCCTATCGCGTGGTGAAGTCAACCGGCTCGGGGCGAGGGTGTGGAGCTTGCGTGTAGGGTTTGGCATTTGCATGCATCGTGAGCCTTTTAATACTGTGCCCCTCCCATTTTGACTGGCTTATTCTCTCTCGACTTTACGAATTTTTCTTTCTTTTTTATTCAAGACTCGATTAGTATAATATAGCTATGGAGGTTCGTGCCCTGCTTACTCTATAACACCCCAGCTCTCCACATGAATCAATCATAATCTAACTCCACCCCAAGGAAACACAGCTGGACTGGAATGACTCCACAGATGTCCTCCAAGGCATCATGGTTGGACATGAAGGACATGATATGTCTGATTCTAAATCTTCACTCCCCTTTGATGCCGCAAACCCACTACTAGACCTCCAACTTGGATCGCTCGATCCAACACTTAACCCACTCCTAGGCCAATGGCCTTCACATTCCCGAGACCTATACTACTCCCAATACACTCACTCCCGTCTGACAGGCGATCAAGATGCCTGGAATCCGCTGCTGGCCACCGGTGTTCCGGCCGCTTCGTCCATCTCACATATGAACATGCCTGCCCAGATGCCCGACCAGGATTGCTGCTTCTCGCACCATCGATATAGTGAACCCTCTGAGAACGGGAGCCAGTACATGGATAGCTATCACTCTACAGATTCCGGGTACGGTGCGACCAGCTGTGCAACGCAATCTGTGGTTGCTTCGTCGTACAGCGTGGATTCCTCGAGCCCTCACATGGACATGGCAGAGAATATGTCCACCGAGTCGGGGTCTTCGTTTGATCGTCCCCAGTATGGGTCTGTGTCTGAGCCATCTTACACATCAGAGTTCATGAGCTCGCCGTCGCAGTTGGTTGATACCTCGATGCGATGCGAGCATCCATCGTGCAAGTGGGTTGGGAAATGTCCTTCGGACAAAAGGTGCGTCGTTTGGGTTTCGGTTTGAAATGGGGATGGCAGGAAACTAACTTCGACAGAAAACACGAGGCTCGCCACAAGAAGCAATTCAAATGTGACGTCCCAAATTGCCCGCGGAAGGACGGGTTCGGCACCATTAACGATCTTGCTCGTCACAAGAAATGCGTTCACAATAAAGAGCCCGAGCGTGGGCCCAAGATGACGTACATGTGTTTCGGGGCAAATTGCCCTCGCCCGAACAAGAGGTGGCCGCGTCTCGATAATTTCAAGCAACATCTGAACCGGATGCATCATGAAGAGGATGGGGAGGCACTCCTAAAAAAGTGGGTTCAAAATGAGAAATGCAATGTTCCAAATACTAATTTACAAATAGGTCCATGGATTGGTATGAGAAAGTCATCCTCGACCAACCAGAACAGAGCTTGGATGAGCGTAGCTCAAGGGATGAGTCGGTATTAGAGCCGGAAGAAGACGAGGTGTCCGTCCAGTCGACCGCCGATCTCAAGCTGGAATACGGTTCCATATCTCAACAGAGGACTGATATCTTCACATTTGGTGCTGCCACGCCGAGACCCCCTCAGTATACTACGCCGCCTAGTGCAGACTCGACATCTTCTCAATTTCCCGCCTTTGGCTCCCTAGGTCTGTCAAGAACAAGGCAAGATTCGTCCGCTGAACGCGGTATCACGAGGCCCGATGGATCGGTTGCAGACGCAGCTGATAACTTAATCAACGCCATGACTAAGATGATGAACAACCGCGGGCGGAGATCAAGTCAGAATATTGATGAGGGGATCGATCTTGAAACCGACGCCGCTCAGCTCTCTCAGCCCCAGCGGCAAATGCTGCAGAAAGTGCTTTCGGTGGCCCTGGAACGGTTATCCGAAGACAACGAAATCACCACACAGGAACCTGATAGCGAAAAACGTGGTTGGTTCCAATGTGACGCATGTCCAAAGCAGACCCGGCTCCGCTGCGAAATGAAGTAAGCCACCCCCGGCCACTTCCGTATTCTTATCAGGGTTCTAACCACAAACATCATCAGGAAACACCAGAAACGTCACGACCGACCCTACGGTTGTACATTCCCCCACTGTGCCAAGTCCTTTGGCAGCAAAGCTGACTGGAAGCGCCATGAGAGCTCCCAGCATTTCAATGTGCCAAGTTGGTTCTGCACAGAACATGATGTGCAAACAGGCGCCTCATGCGAGCGGTTGTTCTATCGAGTCGACACATATACCCACCACCTGCGGCAGCATGGGATTCACGAATATCACGTCGCAGCTTCGGCTGGCAATAACCGGCTCGACCTGGCTGGCCAGTCGCATTTCTGGTGTGGCTTCTGTAACCACAGAGTCCCACTACAGAACCATGGCCCCGAGGCCCTGGATGAGAGGTTCAATCACATTGATATTGAGCATTTCAAGAAAGGAGAGAGGGGTCAAGACTGGCGGTTCCCGCCTTCATCGCTCCAGGGGGACAAGATGGATCATTCCAAGGATGTTGCGGCACAGACGTTTGACCACAGTCGGAAGGCTGCAACGACTGGCGAGCGGAAACGCAAGTATTCCGCGGCATGACATACCAGGGACTTTGAATCCTGGAATCCTGGCTTCTCGTAATATAATAAGGATATTCTGCAATATTTGGTTTATTGGGATCATCAAGACAATGTTTCTCCAAGTCTGGAAGCGTCATGGCATTATTCAAAGCCACAGTATAATATGGTGCTGAGCATCAATGAAACATAATATGGTACATGTTTTCTCAAGATTCTCTCAAGATTGGATTCATTTCTGAGTGCTAGTAATCTCCCGGGCCTCTTTCTCTAGCACGGCCACTTTCTCTGTAAGAAGGTAAGCAACATGCATGATGTAATAGTAATTAATTAATTCTCGCTGATCTCACCATTCTTCGCCACCTTGATCTCATCCATCTCCAACTTCAACCAAGTCCAATAAAGGACTTGATAGACGAACACGCCCCCCAAGAAGACCTTGGCGAAGGGGCCAGTAAAGGTCCGATATTGGTTCATCTGGATAGAACATTAGAAGGTTTCAATTTAACCCTGCAGTCTGAAAGAAAACCATAGACATACCCCTTCCTTGTATGCACTTGGCTTCTGTGATGAGTTGAATATGGCTTGTGTGGAGGTGAAGGTGCGTCGGCTCATGGGAACTCGAGCAGATTGAAAAGACATCGCAATCGGTGTTAACCGACGAGCTGATTGCGAGAACATATTGTGATTTTTAAGGTGTCTTCTTTCTCGTTGATATCCAAGGAGACGCGCCAGGGTGATGTTGAAGTTCGTGTTCCATTTCGGGTATGGCGGTCTTGGCATTTGTTCCTCAGGTGTCGATTTATTATACCTCTCGCTTCTCCTTCTCTCGTGATGATACAGCTTATCCAAAACAAGTCCAGATAAAAGGGGGTCAAGAGATTTTTGTTCTTCAAAGGTCCACTTTCTTCATTTCGGAGTTTATTACTTTCAACACACAGAGCTAATCTTTTCGGGCGCCGGCGCATGACCACCGAATGATGGCATGTATAGTCCTAACCTTTGCAGTGAAAGTACCATACATCTAATTCATCTCCAAAAACATCTCCTCCAGTATGTTCTGCAAAACGGAGTCTATGTAGATCGAAACGACCTACAACTATCAACAATCCCGATGGAAAACCAGATTCGTGTACGGCAAAGGCAACAAAACAGCTCGTTGTCGGGTCGTTCTCCTCGTAAAGCTTACCACGTGTGATTGCCATGTCCGTGAATTTGCTCAAGAGGAGGAAACACTGAAAGAAAAGGGTCGGACACTCCGAAAATTGCGAGATGCCGACAAAGACGAATCACGGCTCCAGAAACTAGATGAAGAGCAAGAGGTGCTCCAGAAGAAATACTGGTATCAGGAATGGGAGCTCTACAATTGGCAATGCGGCATTCCCAGTGGCCCTATAAAACTTGCCTATGCATCATTAAGAAAGGATCCGAAATGATACATGCGAAAGGAACTAATCCAGGATTGTGCTGGGTGAGGTGGTTGCTGCGGGCGTAGCTGTGGGTGCTGCGAGAAACGCGAGCCTACTCCCGGACGGAACATGAGAGTCGGACACACTGCATCACTGGGTGAGGTTACTGCTTGAGCTTTCGAGAATGTGAGCTCACTAGAACGGAGAAGGACAAGATTAGAGATAGGCTTATAACGACTCTCCAGCACTCGAATAGAGTTTATCTTCTCACATTGTCTCACGCTTACTTACGCTTACTTGTTAAAGGGCGAAAACGTCGAGAAGGCCGAGCATGTTGACCTGGTGTCAAATCGGTTCAAATGGAGGGAACTTACCGGAAAGGAGTAGGTGGCTACTCGTGAAATGATGCCTTTGACACTTTGGCTTAAAGTTGAAGATTTAACGGGTGGACTATAGACAGATATCCAAAGGATTCCATTGCTATTCTAAAAATACATATCTAGAAAAAAAAAGGGGGGCAATTCCTATAATGTCATGGTATTAACGCAAGAGGAACTGCCAAGGTATATATTGGAAAGTCTCTACGATTTTCATCAGTACTTTCATACGGCATAAGTGAAATAATGTCAATAAAAAAGTCCTCACAGCAAATTAGAAGACTGAGAATAAGATAAATTGCACTGGAAAGACAGCAATGTATTTTCTGAATTGGCGGGATGGGTGAAATGAGTATCGGTGCTTGTCCAGGTTGTAGATCTCCAGGGCCGCAGGGCAGCACGAGCCACTGCTGAGTCAGCGGCACATGATATCAGGTCCGGTCGAAAGCGTCGCAGAAAAAAGACAACCAAAAGGAAAAAACAAAGGGCCCTATTCTCGTCTTCTTCATGTCCCAAATTGCCCTCTGACACCTCCTGTCATCATTGTATCATGTCACTCCCCCACACCTCCATCAATCCTGAATGTGGCGTATTGGGGCATCAAAATGACCGAAACTATCCATTTAGCTAATTCTGGAGAAGAATGCAGCACTACAATAGCTCGATTCATGGGGGCTTGATTCATGGACTGAAGGGTGACAATGGCCATTGAAGCAATTCCCCCCATTGAGAGAGGGTGGCACGTGCGCTTTGTTGACTAATTATGGGCGCCACAATAAGTGGCTGATACATTTTGGCAGTCAGCCCCAATGAGCGCGAGTCCTTTCCGCCCTTCTTCCCTGAAGTCTTTGTTCCTCGAGTTCCCATCGTCTTCTACTTTCTTTTACTTACAACAATTCTTTCCGTGTAATACGCATCTATCTTGGTGGCTGACAGCTTTCCAACACTTTTGTTTTCCCACGCGTTCCCGAGTCCGTGAGACCCTTCCACCTCTGCCCCAATTGCGCTCCACCACCGTGCCGTCTCCGCTAACATACTGATCAGCAATTGTCGGGAAGAAAGTATCAAGGTTGCTGTTGCGACAGGCAGTTTTTTTCCTCTTCGATCGAGTGGTCCAGCTGTTGCTGGCGACAACTGAACCATTCGTAAGTGCTGTCTCTCCTGCCCGCATCGCGCAACGTCGACATCCCGCCTCTTTGCATCTTTATATCTTCCTTATTATCAGGGCATCTGAACCCCTTGACTGTGCTCTCATTGTGCTTTCCAAATTGGAGTGGTTTGTGCTGACTCTGTGGTTCCAAAGTGATCCCCTAATCACCAAAACTCCGTCATGGCTCGTGGCGCAAAGCGTACCCTGGACGAGGTTGCCAACAAGTCCGACTCCGACGACGAGGACTACAGCGACCATGCTCACTACTCGCGTTCGACCGGCCGGAAGTCGAAGGCCAGCCCCAAGAAAAGGTCGCGGCCGGCCCCAAAGAAGAGACGGCGCAGCTCAGACGACGGTCTCACCTCGGAGGAAGACCCGTCCGAGGATTCTGAGTTCGACGAGGTGGAAGAAGAATCGGAGGAGGAGGAGGAGGAAGTTGAACGCAATGTCAGAGGAACCGCACGTCGACGAACCACCCAGAGCCGTCGCCCGCAATACGAGGAACCTGATTCGGAAGAAGACCCGCTCATCGATGATGGTGAGAACGAGACTCGAGATCCTGCTGCACGCAAGAGCACCGTCATCACGTTGAAACTCCCTCCCAACTACTTGGCTTACTCTAAACGTGTAACCCGCCGTACCCGTGACGCTTCAGAGGATATCTACGCCCTTACCAACTCTGGTCGTCATGTACACACCGTTGAGCGAGGTACACATACTCCAGAAGCTGAGATTCCATCCTTGTCTCGCCGCATTTCCAGAGTCGACCGCTTGGCCAAGCGCACGATCATCGATGAAGAGGATGAAGACGCCGAAGGACATGAGGATGTCGAGGATGTCATCAACGAAACGACTATCCAAGGCTCGCAAATGGAGGTGCTGGAAAGTGACGTGCCTCAAGGCGGTGCTGAGGGTGATACATTGCCTGCAAATGATGGAGACCACGACCCAATTGATGAAGAAATGCCGGATGAAGACGTTGTCCCTGAATCGGAAAATGGCGACGCGAAGATTGATCATTCCGAACACACTGATGAACCCCCAACTACTCGGCGACGAGGCAGGCTATCCCACGAGCAACCTCACGAGGAGAATACCGCGCAAGACGCCGAGACAAATGAAGAATCGCAGCTACGTCGATCCAGCCGTAAGCAGCCGTCTCGAAGCTCACAGCGGAAAAGCAAAAATGAAGAAAGTGATTTCGAGCCAGAGGAGGAGCTATCGAATGATGAGGAGGAAGACTCGGAGCCTGAATCGCGTGCCTCACCTCGCAAAGAACTTCGAGCTCGCGAGGAAGCCGAGGATAGCTCTGCCAGTCGGCGCCCTGGTCTACGCCAACGGCCTTCTCGAAAGCGCGCCCCTTCAGAGGAGGCAGAAGAACTCGCTGAAGAATTGGAAGACCTTACTGGCCGTGCCCGTCGCCGTGCGAAGCAAGCGGTCGTGTACGAGAAACCACGTCGCAATCGAAAGGACGTTGATTATCGCATTATTCGACCCGAAATGTTTCAGCCCAATGAAGACACTGACAACGAAGTGATAGGGTCTCCATCCCGGCGTGGCCGTGGAGGTGGAGGCTGGCAGCGTACTTTGTTCTCCACGTTGGGCCCATTCGGTGGGGGTGGTAATTCGGCAATTCTCGGTGTACCTGGTGGCCCTACTGCAGTCGGAGGAGCGGACAGCGATAGCAGTGATGATGAAGGTGCTCAACAGCCAAATCGTGCTCCTGGTGTTGGAATTGCAGCCACCCACAACCAGTCGGCTGACCCTGGTCAGAACTCGGCCGGTACACCTGCAAACCTTGGCAAGTTCAATAACAAGCAGGCTTTGGCTGACGCTGATCCCCTGGGGGTTGATATGAATGTCAACTTTGACCATGTTGGTGGTTTGCAAGGCCACATTGACCAGTTAAAGGAAATGGTTTCTTTGCCGCTGCTGTACCCGGAAATATTTCAGCGTTTCAAAATAACTCCTCCTCGTGGTGTTCTATTCCACGGTCCTCCTGGTACCGGAAAGACGCTGATGGCTCGTGCTTTAGCCAACAGCGTGAGCTCAGAAGGACGCAAGGTCACATTCTACATGAGAAAGGGTGCGGATGCACTGAGCAAATGGGTCGGTGAGGCTGAGCGACAACTTCGGCTTCTTTTCGAAGAAGCGCGTAAGAACCAGCCCAGTATCATCTTCTTTGATGAGATTGACGGTAAATGAAGCCCCTCTGAACTCATAGTTGACAATTGCTAATATTCTATACTAGGTTTGGCTCCTGTGAGATCCAGCAAACAAGAGCAAATTCATGCCTCCATTGTCTCGACCCTACTTGCCTTGATGGACGGCATGGATGGCCGTGGTCAAGTAGTTGTCATCGGTGCTACCAATCGACCTGACTCTGTTGATCCTGCTCTTCGCCGACCTGGTCGTTTTGACCGCGAATTTTATTTCTCGCTACCTAATATCGAAGCCCGTCGTGCTATTCTCGACATTCACACCAAGGAATGGGATCCCCCGCTTCCAAGCAACATTAAAGATGAATTGGCGGATATGACCAAGGGATATGGCGGTGCTGATTTGCGAGCGCTTTGCACCGAGGCTGCAATCAATGCCGTACAAAGAAGATACCCCCAAATCTACAAATCAGATCAAAAGCTCGTGATTGATCCGAAGACAATCGAGGTGGCCCCTAAAGATTTCATGCTGGCAATCAAGAAGATGGTGCCCTCTTCAGAGCGGTCGACCTCATCTGGTGCGACTGCCCTCCCTCCGAACATTGAACCCCTGCTTCGTCATCCATTGTCCGAAATCAAATCCTTGCTGTCCGAGATTCTCCCACAGCGAAAGAAACTTACTGCTCTCGAGGAGGCCCAATACGAGGAGCCTGATGATGGTGCAGGCTTCACCCGAGAGCTCCTTTTGCAAGAGTTTGATCGCTCGCGTGTCTTCCGACCCCGACTCCTTCTTCGGGGCCCCCATGGCATGGGCCAGCAATACCTCGCAGCCGCACTACTGCATGTGTTTGAGGGCCTACATGTTCAGGCGTTCGATCTTCCCACTTTGTTGAGCGACTCAACCCGCTCTCCAGAGGCAGCTGTCATCCAGCTCTTTACCGAAGTCAAGAGACACAAGCCGAGTGTGATTTACATCCCCAACATTCAACTGTGGTTCCATACTGTCGGACCTACTGTGATTTCTACGTTCATGAGTCTTTTGCGGTCGGTGCCTCCTTCTGACCCAGTTCTTTTGCTTGGCATTCTTGAATCACAAGAAGAGGAACTGGATGAGGGTCTACTGAAGAACATGTTTGGGTTTTCCAAGAAGAACCTGTATGATCTATCTGCTCCAAATCATGATGCGCGTCGTGAATTCTTTGGAAAGATCATTGAATTTGTCAAGACTCCTCCAAAAGGATTCCCCAACCCCGAAAATCGCAAACTTCGTCAACTTGAACAACTGGAAGTCGCGCCACCTCCACCTCCCAAACCCGAGGCAGAACTCACCAAGGAGGAGATCAAGGCCCAAAGGAAGAAAGATTACATATCCTTGAATCTTTTGAAAACCCGAATTCAACCTATCATGGATCAGGTCAAGAGGTACAAGCGTTTCAGGTCGGGCGTAATCGATGAATCCCAAATCCGATACTTGTGGGAGGAAGAAAATCCCAACATTGTTACCAGTGATCTTCCCCCGGATCAACAAAACACATTCCGGCCTTATGAGAAAGCATACGACAAACATGGTGTGTTGGGTCTCCGTGAAACTGCCACTGGGAAATTCTACTACAACTTGGAGATCGTGACAATTGAAAAACGCCTTGCAAACGGATACTACAAGCGTGCCATCGACTTCGTGGCGGATATAAAGCGAATGGTCAAGGATGCTCGTCAGACCGGTGACCCGGAACGCATTTTGCGGTCAAGTGAACTTTTGACCAATGTCGAAGTTGATATCGCCAGTGTTATGGTGGCCGAACCAGCTCTTATGGCAGAGTGTGAGCAAGTCTATTTGCGTGAGATGGCTCGCGAAAAGGAGGCTGCGGAGCGTGAGAAACGTGCCCAAGAGGAGAATGCAGCTCTCATTCCTGACCCTACCAATGAGTCGCACGGCAACACTGAATCGGCCCTTTCGACTGGCCCAATTCAACTGGGCGAGGAGTTCCCTGACAATGAGGATGATAGAAAAGCAGCTTCACGTCCCGTGACCCCCACGTCCCAGTACAAGAGTTTCGCCAATGGAGATCATCACGGAGGTGGTTCGGATCTCAACGAGTTTGGTTCCCATGCTGTCGGCGCGAGCAATGGTACCCATGGAGATGGAGACGGCGACGTTTTCATGTCTAATTCTGATGATCACTCAGGTAGCAAGGACACCCAGGGGAGCTCATTCGGGCCCTCTGCACAGCCGAAGCCTCCTTATTCCCACACGGCACCTTCTCAGCAGATTCGTCGAGAATCTGGTCTTTCCAGCTTCTCTCAGCGAGGCCCCATGACTCCAATGGCTCCCGGATCTCAGCCCGCTGATTACATCAATGAAGCATCCACTACTCAGACGACTTCTGATAAGAAATCCTCCGAGCATCTGTCAAATCAAAATGACCACACTCAAAGCCCCCATGTCTCGAGAACCGACTACCCCGACCTTACTCAATACCCCGATCGCGTGTCGCAGGAAGACCACCTGCCCGATACCCAGCAAAATGACAGCAGTCAGCCTTCTCCCAATCCCCGGGACTCACTGCTTAGCAATGCAGACACCCAGGAGAACAGTGGTTTGAATGGAAGCCTGTCGCAGTCGAAGCCGCAACCCCCGCTGTTCGACGCACCCAACATACCAGCCACCAATGCTTCGGCTAACTTGCAATCGATCCTGAGCGAAGAGCCCCATGAGCCATTCGTCCTCGATCTTGAGGTTGTTGAGCGTCTGCACACGCAGCTAACCCTGTCAACCAGCGGATTCTCAGTGGAGCAGCTGGAGCAAATTAACACCAATCTGATGGACTACGTGTGGCACATGCGTGGAGAATGGAACCGTACTCGCGTCGCCGATGGTCTCGGCAAAACATACAATGCAGTCTTAGAAGACATGCAGGCGATGCAGGAGATCGGGCCTATCAGCCAACAAACCAAGGATATCCTGGCCAACCTGAGTTTCCAGTGAGAGCTGGCTGATGGGTAATTCCAAACTTTCACCCTTTTCTCTCTTTTTTTGTCCCTTTTCTTACTTTGTCAATATGTTGACGTTCATATTCCCCTTTGATCTGGCGATGGTTTTTTTCCCCTTCTTTTTTGTTTTTGTTTTCTTCCTCGTGGCGACATGGATGGATAGGGGGAGCAAATGTGTCAATTACCCAATTTTCTTAATTGTTTATGCAAAAATTAGTTTTAGTGGGTTATTTAACATAGGAAATGTATGTAGACTATGAGAATAATGGTCCAAAATGTTGTTTCCCTTCGTAATTGTAACTCTTCACTCTTCGTGGCTTTTTTATACTTGAGAATGAACATGTGACGTGACCCACTAAACACCCTGGCCTTTCGAGCTTGACCAACACCACATTTCGCAACTTCAAGACCCTTCTTTTCTTTATTTCACCTCCCACTGGTACAGCTTGAGTATTTCTACCTCATCCTATTTCCCGGACCTTCAATCCCTATATTCTTGTCCCAAAAACCATATCGCCGCAATGTTCGACGTGGACTGGCTCAGTCTCGCCGTCCCAATCGCCTACCTAGGCATTCTCTTGGGATCGCTTGCTACATTCTCCTCCCTCTACCGCAAGCGCAAGTCCCGTATGTGAAATAATCTCAGAAAGCCTCGAGCTCTCAACGTCCAACCATCTCGCGCGCCGACGTGTCCGATTGTCCTTGAATGCTAATATACGATTTGTGAATATAGACAAGGCAGCATCTCTAGAGCCATGGTTCCCCGCCCACCTCCAGCGCGATATCTACTTCTCTCTCCTCCATCTTGAACCCTCAGCAACCTCCACAAAAGAGAAGAAGGCCCCCGCCATCCCCGACTCTATCTTCAAGGCTTCTCTTCTCCGTCGCGCAGCCGAAGACATCCGTCGCATTATGGCACTGCGCAGCCAGAAGCAAGCTCTCACAACACTCGTTCAACGTGGTAGTGTCGGGGATGATCTCTGGCAGCGATTCCAGCGCGCGGAGAAGGAGATGGAAGACGAGGTCAAGGATGTAGTTTCAGAGGTATGATAAGCTCTGTTTTCCGTCACCGATAAACCATTCTTCTTGGCGAACAAATGATCGTATATGCTGTTCTGCTTTGCTAACCAAAATAAAACAGGCCAACGCCTATGTCCCCGGCTGGGGCCAGACTATCTTCCAGTCCGCCAACGAAATGATGAATAACGATATCTACCGCAAGCGCATGGACGATCAACAAAAGAAATTGGAAGAGGAGCGCCAGTGGTGGAGCAAGAAGAAGACGAGTATCCAGGAGGGATTTATGAAGGAGTTGAATGAGGGCTCGGCCGCTTCTACCGAAGAGGCGAAGACTACCAGCACCACAACCAAGTCCGTTGAGGCTCCTCCCACAACCTCTACCGCCGGTACTTCTGTCCAGGGCAGTGATGACGATGCTGTTCTTGTGGAGGCTGAAACATCCTCGAATACGCCTGCTTCTCCGCCAAGCGCAAAGAAGAAGGCCAAGGGCAAGAAATAGATATGACTTTTTTCCTCTGTTTTTTTCTGTTTTTTTCCAGTTTTTTTGTACTTTTATCTGGGGTTCAAAATACACTCTCATTGCTAGGGGTTTTGGGCCACGGGTTCAGGAATTACATTATTATACCAGTTATAGTTATGGGTGAGAGATTGAATAGTCAGGAAACCTATCAATATATCACGAACCGGCAAATTCAAGGCCAGATTCAAGTCCGAAGTAAAGATAATGCTCAAATTCAACGTTTTTTTTATATGGACATCTACCAGTCATGTGACTATATCGTTGCCCTATAGTACGCACATTATCTAGGTACTAGGTGGTATAGACTGCGCGCATGTCTAGTAGAATGGATAAGGATAATATCAGTTTGAGAAATACTACATTCTCCAATACGCTGCAAGGTAATGCCACCAGGTAGTCTGACTACAGAGCACAAAACTAGCTGTCCATTTGCCGAATTACTGGAAACTAATCCATAGGAAATAAGTGACAATGAGGGTTTTTAAGTAATAATAGAAGGACAAGGCCTAGGGTATCAATGCCCTAGTTTTCTGCCAAAGACAATCACATTTCCCGAGGATAGGTCCTGAATAGAGATGGTGTCTTGGAAAATAACGCTAAACATACATGATAGAACCATCTCTAAAAAAATCTTTGTGGATATTGAATCAGGAGTGGTTTGAGGAAGGGGTTCTCAAGTGGACTCGGTTCCCGGATAAGGCTTTGGGCGGGGATAGGTAAAGATCGGGGTGGGTTGAGGTAGAGGTGGCCACTTTTTAACTTGAGACTGCAGAGCCAGATGGTCCCCTAGGAGTGTATCATAGCTTTGTATCCTATCCCGGAGTGCTGTCACTTCTGCGTTCTGCACTGTCAATAGAGCAGACATGGTCTGGTTGACTGAGTATTGGTTATTTCGGTCCCGCTGAGTCATGCGCAATTTATGTAGTAGCATGGCCGTCTTAGTATCGTTCTGAGTACTGTTAGGGACTTGGGAAGATAGAGCAGGAATGGATGGACTAGCCAATTCGGAATGGATAGCGGAAGACGTCGCTGGGGATGATGTTGTCTGCGTCGGGGATAGGTTCTCTGAACTTGAAGAGACCTTCCAGAAGAGATATTGCCCGACTAGACACGGATTACACGAATGAAGGAGCTGCGCAGGCATTTTGAACCTCCCCTTCTCCACGGTTTCGAGAAGGTGGGCGTATTCAGTGCGGATTTGGCCTCTCCATCGGAAGGCTGTTTTGTACTTTTTTCGGATGCCGGGCTTAAAGAAAGCCAATGTCTTGATTTGTTCGTGGGTTAAGCGTTCCTTCTCCAACCCTTTAAGGTCTGCGGGCAGATCCTCCTCCGTATTCCAATCCAATTGCCACGAGGTCTCGTTGCTAGGGGTAGCCATGACTTCATGATAGTAGTGATACACAGGATCGGTTTTTCTTCGTTCAAGGTGTCTCATTAAATCCGGATGTTTGCTCACTGATCTAGTGCAAATTTCTCTCCATTCCCCTCGGGCAGGCTCGGCGGGAGTTGGGTCAGGGCCAGATCTCACTTTCTTGTTCGGGGTTGGGTCAGGAGTCTGAGGTCGGGGTCGCTTTTGGTTGACAATCCGAGAGGCTACTCTCTTCTCTGGTTCAGATTCAGGATCTAGTTCAGATTCGGTTCTCGGTTCTGAATCCCAGTCCATATCCGCCAAATTAGAGGCTGAGTCACGAGTAGGTACATGAGGACTCGGTGTTCGAGGTCGGTTTTTCTTAGATGGAAAGCTTGCCGGGGGTTGGGTTTTCCCAGACTTGTGGTGCCCAGGGATGATTCCATTGCTATGGATGTGGGCTGGTGGAACTAGCTCCTCGGGATGAATTGGACCAGTTGAGTAGACTGGATTACTCGCAGATTGCAGTCCCTGAAACGAATTCTCGAGAGTAGGTAGCCGAGTGGCCGTATACCCTTCCAGGCCCGATGGTGGTGGCAGGAATAGGTCATAACCTAAGCTTGGGAATTCGGGGTAGGGATAGTCTCCGGGTTGCAGTTGACTGGCGTAAGATATCAATTGTGGTCGTGTATCCCGGATCGGGATATGAGACGGATGGTGTAGGCCTAGTTGGAACGAGGTGTTGCTATAGGCCGTGGTCCCGTACATAGCTCGTGGATTGAGGGCTGGTTGAGACGGGTCCCTTCTAGGTCTCATCGCCTGGCCAAGCAGAGCCTGCAAGCTCTGCGCCGACATTGAGCTTGTGGGATTTCCGGTCATTGGTTCAAGCGAGTTGGGAGTTCATGGAGGTAAGGCTAGATATTGACCCGACGTCTAGCTGTAGAGGGTTGGGTGGAACAGCTGGATTGGCGTGACAATCCTGTGGACTGGAGCAGGTAGGGAAGGAAAAGAAACATTGAGCTCAGGTAGTGAGGGGGGAGGAGATATAAAGAGGAAAAAAGAGGAGGAGAGGGAAGATCAAGGTAGAGAGGAAAGATGGTGGATGTTACATCAATCTAAGTACATTATGTCTAAACAACCAAATAATATACACAACCCTAGTTAATTTGGGTGTAAAACAAAACCCGTCAAACGCCAATATTTCCCATGCAATGGAATAGCTTGATTGACATGGTCAATTACAGAAGCTTGCTATCGTCTACCCCCAAGGGTGGCCCCAAGTCGATATGTTCAGCCAACATCTCCTTCGCTGCTACCTCGAGTTTATTTTCGACTTGAATTGGATCCAAGGCATCTGCTCGGCTCATCACGATCCGTAGTAGACTGGCCATAATCTCCAGTTGATACTGTTCCATCTCACGTGGATCCAGCTGTTCAAGACTCAATCCTTGCAATCGCAGGTTTTCAGCTTTGCGATCACCCAACAATTCTAACAAACGGCTAACTTGGCCGATATTCTCTTTGCTTCGTGGCGTCGAAGACAAGCGGCGGAGGCGCCGTTTCGGAGTGTCGGCCGGTACACCAGCAAGTCGTGCAATTTGAAGTACTATCATGCGGGCAGTCGTGTCATCAGGTGCGAAGCCGAAGGTTGAATGCATCGAGTGTATGACGACCAATGTGCCGGGGAGGTCTTTGGAGAGACAGAAACATCGCACAATCTGATCAAATAGAGCTCTAGGAATCTGTGCTTGGGTGTTTTTCTGGGTGCGAGGAGATAACTCGGAGTACCAGGATATCATGTTGGCATAGAGCTGACGTGCTGATGGAAAGCCCGCATCGAAGGCAGTACGCCCACGGTCGTATTGGAGCTTGGCACAGTCCCAGAGGCAGGCATATGTTTCCATGTCGGGCCGGATGGCGGTAGACATCGTCTGGAACTTGGCCCAAAGTTGTTTCACGTCTTGCTTTCGGAGCTCTGCGTATAGAAGGTGGTTCATGAAGTAAGAGTTCGGCTTGATATGAGCATCCCCAAGGCACTTGACCAAGTATTTGACCATGTCATCGTCACCTCGGCGTGTGTAATGAAGAAGAAGGATAGAGAATGTCTCGATGCTCGCAGGGGGGACCTCTCTCTGCATAAACCGGGGCATGCGTGCAGACTCTGTCTCCCCAGATCTGACTCGAAGCTGAGGGGAAATCTCGGCTGGTTGGTATCGCCTCCATACAACATCGATGCGCTTCTGGATCATGGCCCAGCCAAGTCGCTCTGCCTTGTCGCGTGCACTAGTATTCCCATCACGGAGCCAGCCCGCAATGATTCCATTCAAGTGCTTACTATCAGGTTTGACACACCGCTCATACATAAGTTCAATGACTAGAGCAGCAGAGTCGACCTCGCCCATACCAATGAGCTTCTTCATCCAACTGGCATAGAAGAACCGATTCTGAAACTGGCGAGGCAACACCTTGAGTGCCGATAAAGAGACCTTGTTTACCTCATTTTCGTTGATGCTTGATGCATGAAGATTACCCGCCAGACCCAACGCGGCTTTGTACAAAGCAGTCGAGTCATTGGCTGGGTCTTTTCCGGTCACCATCATATCCTTGAAGATTGCAACTGCAGTATCCAATCGACCAGCCGTGAGAAGGGCAATGCTGATTTGATCATAGTCTTCCATGGTCATATCTGAGCCCAAGAATGTCTTCAACTGCAGATAAAGTGCCCAGGCTTTTACTTCAGCCTCCTTTCCGGGCAGTCTTCCCCATGCTGTGATGACAGGAATGAGTACACGCGGCTGACGAGTTCGGTCATTTGCCAGGAAAGCCAAAGCAATATCTTGAGCTCGTTGTGGGTTGTTGTCTGCAGCAAACAACTGCACTCCGAGCTTCCAGTATTCTTCTAAATCCTCCTTCTTTTGGGACAGCTCTGCTTGATATGCCTCCCATTGCTCCAGGGCAAGGTTGGTGGAGCCATTTTCATGCAGAGATGTGATATAGAATAGGATTTGAGGCGTAGCCAGTTCATGGCCGATAGATTTAGCGTCCTGGACCAGGATTTGCAAATGCGTTGAGCGTGTAGCCTGGTCAGTCTCTCCTGCTGCTTGTGCCTCCCATATTGTTTCAAGTGCCCTCTCAGGCATTATTGTTAAAAAGCCTGGGATGGTCTGCTTGCATCGTCGGTACCACCTCCATAAGTCTTGTCGAGCCCGCTCGTCTGACATCTTTCCTTGGAGTTGTCGTAGGGAATTGTTGAACTTTATAGCGTAAGGATGAGACTCCGCCCCTGCACGCTTTGCTGCGGCAGATCGCCTGGCGGCTAGTTTGCGCCGACTCTTGACGCCATCCTCCCAATTCTCTTCTTCCCTGGCGAGACCTTCAAACTCCTCTCGTAGCATATCATCAAGCTCTTCGTCGAAAACCTGATCTAATCCAGGCTCGTCTGCAGGCTGAGGATTTTCCTCGTCAAATTTTCTCAGAGCTTCTAAGGCAATCTTGCGGTCCTCTTCTGGCAAACTCTTGATGAAAGGGCTGTTGGGAGCGAAAGGTCCCTCCTCCAAAACCTTCAATTCCTCCTGGAGCTTCGCGAGCTCCTTTTTGACCTCATCTCGCTCCTCATTATCTTCAGCTTCGGGATCGATTTTGCGTCGTGATTTGCTCTCGAGGGATTCTTGTTCGTAAAATGTGACTTTGTCGTTCGGTCCGCCAAATTTAAGACGCTGCGGAGCTACGGCGGAGAAGGCCCGGCGTGGAGCGCGTGTCGATGGGCTGCGGGCCACATGCTGACACCAACGGGCTCCTTGAATAGCCTGGCGCAGCATGAAGTCTGAAGTCAATCGGTCATCGAATGCGACCAAAAAAGTTGGAGAAGCGAAGAAGTTCAAGTTCGGGAGAGAACCAATTATCGCCTGATTGGGTTTAGCGTCCTGTCGCGCTTCCGCCCTTGAAGTCATCCCCATTGCGATAACCAAGTCCTTTCGAGCAGCAACATGGATGCTGATGGATTGAACGATGCCTTGGGCTTGTCAAATGACAAGTCCCAAAACCTGGTCTGTCTTGAGATTTGGTATGGACCTTGAGGTTGCGTGCTAACAAATCATCACAGGGTGCGTACATCTACCAACCGCCCAAACATGGAAAATCGGTGGGCGAGCGACCTTCGAAGCGCCGCAAAGTCTCGTCAACTACCGACAAGGACGAGCAGCCTGATCGACAACATTTTGTGCCCCTTTTGAATGGAGACGAGAATGCCGAGTCCGTCCAATTACGATATGATGCCTATCAGGAGCTCTGGTCAAAGCAACAACACAAGATTCAGGTCAGTCAGGCAAATTAATGGGTGGTCATAGGGATAAATTACTCACAAAGCCTCAAGAATATCCTCGAGGATGTCGATGCTGGAGTTCTGACGGATGTGTTGTCCTTTGTCAGAGACACCTCGCCTCAGACGTACGTCCCTATCCCAATGCGATCCACGAACGTGCTCTAACTAGGGCTTTAGATGTGATGGATGTATTCCTACAGCTCTGGTGACAGTTGGTTCAAATGTATCTTCACTCAGCAGATTGCTATCACGGCTTAATGGTCAATTGATATCGACCGAAGAAGGCAGTGTTGTGGTATTGGAATCAGGGGACGCTCCCAATTTGAAAACAACGTTGAAGAACATTATCCGAGCTACCGTTACAAACACGGATGGCAATGATGGATACCAAAAGTTTCTTACAGATCGTGCTGTATGTGGTCGTATTAAAAGCATTGGATTATTGTACTAACCGTTCACCAGGGACCTCGACTTCTTGGTTACGATTTAGACCTTCTTCACGACTATGTGCAGAGGAAGGGGACCAAGAAATTGGTCCTAGCTCTTCGAGATAGTGAGGCTTTTGACCCTGGCCTCTTGACCGATCTTTTGTCTCTATTCAAGTGCGATTGACGTTCCAGACTTTAGTCGATCTTCTAGCTGACCTTCTACTAGATCATGGCTTGACCGTATACCATTCACCGTCTTACTGGGCATCTCTACCTCTGTAGAGCTGTTCGAAGGCAGACTGCCTCGCTCGTGTGTTGCTCTCCTTCGGGGAAAGCATTTTGAGGTCCAAGAAGCCGGAAACTGTGTCGATCGCATCTATGAGGCTCTCCAGACTGACCCAAACACCAATCTTTGGCTAGGTCGCAACGTCACCAGCACTCTGTTTGAGAACACAAGTGACTATTTTCAAAGTCCAGAGGCATTCAGTCGCATGGTCAAGGTGAGAACTGTCCCGAATAGTTTTAAAAACAGACATCTAATTTTTCTAGTATGCATACATGTCTCATTTCTTCGCAAATCCTCTGGCGGTACTAGTAGCCAACCCGGGTTCTACGGTTCTCGCCCAAAACAAGCTTTGTGAGGCCGTCAGAAACCTGCCATCATTCCGAATGTAAGTGTCTCCGGTTCTCATCTTGTATCTCCACTAATTCCGTTCAAGGTTCTGCGAGGACCTAGTCGAAGAGGGCTCTATCAAGCAAGTCCGAGATATGCTAGAAGATGATGAATATCTTATTCAAGAGACGCCCAAGTACCTGGATGCAAACCAGCAAAGAATGCAAAACATGTTCCAGGCAGTCCGCGTCGTACATACCTGCCTTCAATACACACAGAGCGCAAAAAAAACCAATGTGTCGGACCTTTCCATTCGCGCACTCTCTGGCGAACTGTCTGAGTCTACTATTGTGGAAGAAATGGTCGCCACGGCGAAGACTCTAGATTCTGACAAACTGGATGAACTCCTCGTCCGTCTCCGGAAGATTATAACGAGTCCAGAAGCCGATGCAATCCAAGAAGATCTCAGGACTTTATTGGAAACGTGCTTGGACTCCGGTCCACTGCGTAGTGGATA